GAGAAGTTTTTATAGGGGGACGTCTGGTTCCTATCACCACCAATGTGAACAATTCTGAATCGGTAAGTTTCTCTAGAACAAAGCATTTCACACCAAGCCACTGAATGACTTTGTTTACATCGTAACAACTTATTTATGCAGAAAGTTTTAAAAATTGGAGAACTTTTCCTTTAAGTGCTGCAGGAGCTCTCAGCTTTAAATCAGAATTCACTTCAAATTTGATTTGCATAGTAATATTTGAGTTGCTGAGTCTCAGGCTGACTACTAATACTAATAGACCTCTGAGGTTGTGTTATTATTCCATATTAGGAACTGCGGGTCTAAGTATTTTTTTCTCTCTATGGGAAAAATGAATGTCATTTTCAAAAAATTGCTGCTACACCCTGTGGTAAACAAAAATGTTCCAAAGTCAATACATTTTGTTCTGTGTACATTTCCTTCCGAGTTTTACTTAATCCTCTGAATTAAGGGTTCATTAAAGGGGAATTCCAATGATTTTTTAAAATGTCTGCATATTTGAAGGGTTAAGATGTAAACAAAGTTGTGCAGTGTGTTTTGAAGTGTTTTGAAATGCATTATAGAGAAGCTTTCAGATCTAGAATTGTTCACGGCAATGGTGATAGGAAACAGATGCCATTTAATGCTTCTAAATGCCTCTATTTACAGTAGTTTTACAATAAGATTGTGGCCTAAAACATTTTTTAAGAAATACTGGCAGATATACATGCAGGCTGTTGTCAGGCAAAAGATGACCCAATGAAAAGCTTTTTTTTTCCAGATTTTCCAGTTTTACCATAGTCAAGATTACATATAAAAACTCAGGTGTGTGTTCACTGGTCATTTTGGATAATAAATGTCTATTTGTGTATTGTGGACATCATGTCCCCTAATTTCTCTCAGATGTGGCATTTTACATCAAAACACTCTGAATGACTGTTAACATAACAATGATTTAATTACATCACAACGGTTGAAAAATCAATGGAATTCTCCATAGACAAGCATTGCTACATCCATGCTACTAGCTAGCTAACACTCCAGCGCACTGAAATAACATTGCATAAAAGTAATTCTGCTACTATACTTTAGTATACTTTAACTACTAAACTGTAAACCTGCTACTGTCTAGCTTCTTAACCACCATATTTGAACAACGCCTGCTGATTTATGTGGGGTATTTTTGAGTTTGCCAGTCTTATGATGTTAGTTTAATGTGCAGCAGTGTGAGCTTGCATGTTGCTATATTCATATTTCAGCTCCTTAACAGTCTTGTAGTTCAGAGGATCCAAACATAAATGTATGATACATAAAACATATCAGCTTTGGAACATTAGCTCTGCGCTTTTCATTCATTTTTCCCATAGAGAAAACCAGCTCAGTTCCGAAAACGGGCACAACGCTGACTACAAAACAATGACCTGACTTCAGAGGTCCAGTGGTCTGCTGGAGGGGATTTACAGAAAAAGGCCCACAACCGATGTGAGAAGGCATGAATTCAAGTATTAGACCACCTTAGGATGAACTGCCTGAACTGCATAGTATCCAAAATGTCTTCTGATTCATACAACTAGGCCATTTCTACACATCTGAGGGCCCTAAGCACCATCCTACCAAGTGCAAAATATTTCACTGTTCAACCAAACGAAGAGATTTTTAATGTAGGCCATGACATGACTCAGAATAATGCTCCTTTAGACGAGTGTAAACTAGCTAGCTTGCAACTTAATGTGAGTTACTCTTAAGGCACTGAGGTAAACAGAATAAAACAAACCAGAACACAATTAACTTTATATGGTTAGAGCAAAAACTGTTAAACGAAATGAAGAGGTGTTTAATGTAGTCATGAAGTTTCATGTAAACCATAAGGCTGCTGTTCTCTTTGATGGGTATAAACTAGCTAGCTACAAACTTAATGAGTTAGCATCATATACTACTGAAGGTGTGATGAATACAAAAAAATATTCCCATACTGACCAAATTCTTGCACAATTCATGGTCTTTATGGTAAGGAAGCACACTACAACTTACGACTTTTGACTGGAAAACATGCTAAGACAGTGCTAACGAATCAGTCCTGAGATGCCACTTTAAGGGTTCTTCAGTAAAGTCAATGGTTCTATTTAGAACAATGCATTCAATATAGAACCATTTTATGCTTAAACAGTGCTTTGCATGGTTCCTTTGCTAAAACCTCTTAAGAGTGACTTTGACAACCAGGACATTATTCATTCTCATTGATGGGTGTAAACTAGCTGGCTAGCAACTAAATTTGAGTTAGCCTATTAACTCTTATCTTAGACACTAACTACTGATCTTAAAAAAAAAAAAAATGAGGGATTGATAGGTGAGGCTTAAAGTTAAAAGAAAACAGGAGTGGAGAGAGTGAAAGGTGACAGAAAAAAAGGTACCCAAGGATTAAATTTATGACAAAGAAATGTAGCAATTGTTAGCACTTTTGTGAGACGCCCTTTTCCTCCTGTTAAATTAAACTGCACTCTCCCACAGTCACATTTAGATACTGTTACCAGATTAAAAGGTCACAGGCTCAGCACTACTGCAGTCCTGGCACTTCTCAAGTTTGAATTAAAATGCTTCATTTGCAGTCAAATACAAAAACGGAAAAAGATTAGAAAAATACTTAATCAGGTTTTGAGTTCTGTTGGGGGAAAAAACCTCACAAGAATTAAAGTGTGAAGCAGCTACAGCAACAAAGGCAAAGCTCTGACACCTTCACAATACAGCCATCACAAAGGCTTTATGGTAAGTAATAAAAGTGTTTTTGTTTGCTTGTGTGTTCTAATATCAATACTTTTCTTTGTAAAATTCACTTATTCTACTAGCTTTGCTGACTGAATGATGGTGTTATGCTGCTATATTGTGTTTTCTTTTTAACTCTTAATGCATGAGGTGGTGCAACAAAGCTAAAAGAACGATTATAGTGGAGTGGAAAGACCCTCATCATACAGAAGTGGACAGAGAGAAATTAATATGTATAAACTTAACTTAGAGTAAAATTAATAATGTATAAACAAACACAAAACATGATGTGCTTGAATTGTTTTTACACATAAAATGCTCATTCATACAATCATGGCCTGTTGTCTCATTAATATGGATAATTAATAAGTAAATGGAAGAAGAAAAGTTTGACCACTCAAAATGATGCAGCTGCACAACTGTGAGCTGTTTGAACTGCTTAATCAGAAATGTGTGTGTGTGTGTGTATATATATATATATATATATATATATATATATATATATATATATATGTATACACACACATACACTATATATATATATATATATAAATAAAAATGTGTATAAAAATGTGTATATCTATATAAATATCTATCTATCTATATCCACACACACACACACACAATTTTATCAGCTCCACTTACCATACAATTACACTGTAGTCCATCTGTTTCTCTGCATACTCTGCATGTTAGCCCCCTTTTACCCTGTTCATCAATGTTCATTGGCCCCACAGGACCACCACAGAGCAGGTATTATGAGTGGTGCATCAATCTTAGCACTGCAGTGATATCATCAAAACAAGTGAATTTAGTTAATACTTAGTTGTAATGTGTTTGTATATGTATGAAATATACTTTAAGGTGTTGGTTCCTGTAGTTCTTAAAGTGGAAACTTGACCTACCAAGTTTAATTAAAGATTTTATAGTGTACCACTAAAATTTTAAGTAAACTGTGCGTTTCCATCCACTCTTTCCAAAGAAATCTTAGCTGTGTGCTGTCGCTAGATTATTTTTAAATTACTGAAGATGTGATGAATACAAAAAAATATTCCCATACTGACTAAATTCTTGCACAATTCATGGTCTTTATGGTAAGGACACACAATACGACTTATGACTTTTAACTGGAAAACTCATTTTCAACATGCTAAGAAAAGACAGTGCTAACGAATCAGTCCTGAGAGTGCACTATAGGCAACAGACCTTCCAGGAATGCTGTGACAAACTGACACTGATCAAGGAGTCTGTACAGTGCTGATGTATTGAAATGTACACATCATAATTCATGACAATATCGTTTCAAATAATTGCAATTAGCAATTGCCGAAAATGCACGACCCCAAAGTTCTTCTTAAAAACAAACAATAAAAAACCTAATGCTTACATGCTACCACACTCATAGTTGCTGTGGAAAAAAAAACACATTAATACACACACAATTGTACGTGTCCTAATTAAAACAGCTATGAAAAATAAATGACATTTCCTACAGCTACAGCTCTAATTCATTCATCTTCTTATATACAATCTTCATGATAAAAGAAATAAAAACATAAATACAAATAAACATAAGATACAGCTCTGTAGAGACACCATCTTTTGCTATGGTAACAAACGTTCATTCTAAATAAGCTAAAATGTGCTCATGAAATAAGTATTCTTTTTTACAATATAAAAATAAAAATGCCACAACTGGAATCTGACCTCAAAATGCAAATGTAAGTGTCTGAAGATCCTGTATGCTATATGAGCACCACTGCAATAGCTGCTTCACTGATAAACGAAGAAAGAGCATTTCCAGGATTCCAGGAGCTAAAACCCGTCCTAAGCACTGATCGAAATAAGTAATTAAAAAGCAGAGTTAAAATGTGCACTCTTAAAAAAAAAAGAAAGATGGTTCTTTAGTAAAGAAAATGGTTCTATATGGAACTGAGAAAAATCAAAAGAACGCTTTGCATGATTAAAGGGTTTTTTCATCGTGAAAGGGTTCTTCAGATAGGAGAATGTGCTGTATACGGATTTATACAGAACCTTTTTAAAAAGGTTTTTATGTAGCACCAAAAAGCGCAAAAAGCGTTCTCTGTTGTTACAATGTCAAGCTTGTTATAATAGAACAAACTTTTTTGGTGCTATATTAAACCCTTTTTACAGCACATTCTCCATCAATCTGAAGAACATTTCACGACACAAAAAAAATACTGTAATCATGCAAAGGTATCTTTCAATGTTCATGGTTCTATATAAAACCATTTCTTTACTAAAGAACCCTTGAAGAACCATCTTATTAAGTGTATAGTCTTGTTCAGTAGTGGACAAACTGGAGCTGAGAACCTTTACTGCTGAGCTGCAGGACCGACAACAGCATCAATCTGAACTCTGTATTTTGTATCAGAATTAGAGTTGTGTTTGTGTGTGTACAGCTGTGTTTTAACTGTCTGAACACACACAGGAGTTTGCATTAGATTTTGTAGCAGCCAGCAATGCAGGAGTCATCGATTGGATTTCAAAAAACAAACTGCACACTGCTGGCAGTTGGGCTTGGTTCTGCTTCGATTGGATTCTGATGTCATATGGGGACACCAGTGACTGTAAAACACTGTCAATCCTGTCCACAAACACCCTGCACAGCTTAGTGAGTTTTTCTGGCAGTAACACACGTTAAATTTATAAAGGGTTTTTTTTAATGAACAACTTAGTTGAGCCAGTTGTGTTGGGAGTGAGAAAAAGACTAAACTGTGCAGTGCAGAAGCACTCTGGGATTAGGTCCAGATAACAATGGACTAAACTAGAATGTGAATATTAAAACTATAGACGTCTTGGTTTGCACATCTTTGAGTGCACTCAGTGCATGGAATATGTGTATACATACCCATATGTGTATGTTTGTACAGGATGAGGCAAAAATCAGTAACCTAAATATCTGTAAAGACCCTTAAATGTTAGATTGAATTCATCATTACCATTATGTATTAGACCAGGGGCAACCAGCCTTATCCACAAAAGACCAGTGTGGATGTAGATTTTCGTTCCATACAAGCAGGACAAGCCCTTCTCGATGAGATTGGTGATAACACTTGGGCAAGATTGGTGACCCAGACCAATGGGTGTACCTATGATGTATGTTACCCCACCCCTCTGGCATCTTAAAATCTGCCATCAAGAATACAGTATTAAGCATCTTACAGATATTTGAGTGGTTTCTGACTTCTGACTCACCCTATATATACACAAATACACACATACACACAGTATGTATGGTCAGTGCACAGATGGTAATGTAACTCTCTGTTCATCCATCCTTTTGGCCTGTGCGCGGAGGATGAGGCTGAAAAAGTCTTCATCGGGGACAGTGGGACCACGGACCGGGGCAGAAGGAGGAGCACACCTCTGATCATTTAATCGAGAACTCTGCGTGTGTGAGGAAGAGAGAGAGAGAAATAGGTCAAAAATGGGGAAGACAATGAAAGAAACAATTGTTAACTCTGACATAATATTTTGCAATGAGGCACAAAGCAGAGCAGCCAATCAGACCAGAGACAATTTACATTCATCAGTTTTAAAAGACACAGTAACAAAAAACAGCGTGTTTTATTCTAAGGGACAAAGAGAGGTCCATTTACTGTTCACTAAAATGCATGCCCAGTTTAACCAGATGAGATCCAATTTTACTTTCCTGCATGAAAAGCACATAAGCACATCATTTTCCTTTTACTTGCGTTTTTTTTATTTATCCTGTTACTATATGAACTGACAAGCTTGGCTTGAGCGCTTTAATCATCCCCGAGAGCCAGAAAGTACTAGATTTCTGAATAACGCCAGTCTTGCATATCCTCTGTCTTGCTTTTCCTTATCAACTCACCTGCTACTCAGCTCTTAGCAGACTCATTTCTACTTACGTAACCGTATACAGATATAAAAAAAACATTTTATTGACCCTGAAAGGGGTCAAGATCTCTGGAATGCGGTCTGTGATCATCTCAGAATGTGCTTTTAGTGATTTAAGTCTTATCAGAGTGTTACATCTGGCTTTTCATGCAGTCAAGTGAAATATGAATGTGATCTGATCCAAATGTGAAGAAGCATATTAAATGAAGGGTTTAAAGACCTTCTCTGTCACAGAGCCACTGTCAGCCATTTCCTGTATCGCTAACACTCAAGATAGTCCAGTGCGTCCTCAACACCTCACTTGAATGAATAGCGATTGCTGGCTGTGGTCCTGGGTTTGGTTACAGTGTGGGAGGCTGTAGGCTTGAGCTTGTGGCTGAACTGCAGTGACTGTATGCACACCAACACGTGGCAATCAGAGAATGAACAGAGGGGGCTGTAAGGTGAGAATTTTCACAGGTATGCAAGACCACGCTTACAGCTTTCCGCTGTGAACTATAATAAGCAAACATACTTTAAACGGGCCAGTCCTAAAGGTGCCATTTCGCATACACAAAAAGTCTGAACCTGCAGCATCCATATCAAGTAGTATTACAGGCTGCTTGATGGTTTATATTAAACATTCATGCACAAGTTTCTGAAATGTCAAAAAAGACATCACTTTATGATGTAATACTGGCTTGTATACGATTCAATTATGACTTTTTTCAACTCAAATCAGTCAAAACAGTGAGAATGCAAGTCATCTATTGCATTATAGAATGATGCCAAGAATCCAAGAACAGTAACATCCAAAAAAGCTTTGGACTTGAACAGGCTAAACAGCCAGTTCAGTGGAAAATAATTAGGATCTCTGCACTTAAACAGGTGACATTAACAATACTAAAGCAACAGCAGACAACTTGGTTAAGCTGCACTGCAGGTTTACCATATGCAATAACGTACCACTGCCCTCTGATGCTGACAAATAACCTAATAAGTATAAAATCAGACATGACTGACAATCTCCAGCAGGTGTCACTCTTCACACTTGTTGCCTTGTTACAACTAAACGTCTCTTTCCCACCTTTTCTATTTACTATTGATCTGCACAATATGTGTGGATCCAACTTTTAGTACAAATATATAAGTGAACAATAGGCTATTACATTGTTAGCTGGTTAGATAGATTCATCATGTCCCTAATAATAAGACCCTAGTTACCAATTCTGCCTCTCACCTGACACTTCACCAGCATGTCAAAGAACTGGTCGTCTGGTTCTGAGGCATCATCGCTAGCCATCAGCTGATTGAGGACAGCCTGTCTGCTGCCACAGCTTTGACTGGGTTGGAGGCTCCGCAGACCAGGTAAGCTCCCCACAGCTCTCTGGTCCTCCAGCCTTCGGCCCTGAGCGCTCGCCAGAGCACCCAGAAATGCCTCCTGACCAGGAGACACTGCAGACTCCGAAAAGGCTGGAGAGGGAATATGCAGGGGGAAAGCAAGAGTAAATTAGGATAATTTATTTTCCAAGATTGTGAACAACATCAAATTCAAAACCAATTCCTAACCCAATTTTCTAAATCTAATTTTCATACTGTTTCAGCGTTTTTAGAAGTGGGTTTGTCATAGTTTGTACTCAGTGACTTTTCAAATCCAACTTTCTCTCCAAATCATCTAACTTTTTATTTCTTTTCTGTGAGTAACTAAGTTACATGTTGATGCTCCCACCCCACTGTTGGGTCATCAGGTGAAATTACAGTAATGAGTCTCTTTACTGATAAAGAACTTAGCACTCACATTTCTTCATGTTTGTGGGTGGACTGGAAGATGTGGAGGAAGAGGAGCTAGAGGAAGCAGTAGCTTTGCGGGCCCTGCCCTCCTGAATAGAGCAGCGCTGGTCATCCATCCTGTTACCCTGGAAACGGCTCAGCAGGTCAAAGAAGCCCTCATCGCCCAACATGTCCGCACTCACTCGCTGCAGGGAGTCAAAGTTCAACGAGTCAAAAATTGAGCGGTTTCTCTGTCTCTTATTCAAAATAATTATAACCAAAAAATAACTTTTTTTTCCAAAGTAATTTTGATCACTTTATCGTCTAATAATGGCACATAGACGGTTCGAATTTAATGGAGTTCAGTTCAGAGAATACAACTCATCTATTATTTTGTAGAATTTTGCTTTAAATTCAAAAACAGCACAATCCAAAAACCTTCACAAATCAAAAGGCTCAACAGCTAATCCAATAAAGAATTAGGATCTCCACATTTAAAAAGATGACTTTAATGATACTCAAGTAATGGTAAACAACTCAGTGAAGCTACAAAGAACATGTTCTAAAACATCAACATGTCAGACAGTCTAGCTAACAGTGACTTACAGTAACTAAAAGTGATCTACAGTAACTATTTCCCTCATCTGTAAACAGCATAGAGACACCCACTTTATGAGCAGGCTGGCTCTGAGGGGTCTCCAGAGTGTTGCTGGTGTCCTGAAGAACTTTAGAGGAGCTACTCTTCGGTTTCTTCCCCCGCAGACGGTTCATAAAGAACAGCTTAGAGGAGGACTTGGACAGCGTGGGTTTTGATTGCTTACAGAGGACGTCATTGCCCCATTTCTGACCCTGCATGGCGCAAAACAGGAAATGATATGATGTAGGTAAGAACTGCTGATCTGCCCCACTTTTATCCATCACACTTCAATAAAAATTTAAATATAAAGTATAAAACTGATATGTGAATTTTGAAAAGTGTAACAACTTCATCAGTACTCGATGTATACCAAGCAGGACTGCTGAACGCCGATCCTGGATGGCCACAGCCTTTCACAATTTAAGGTATTCTGTGGTCACTTGTTAAATTGTCAGTCCCTTCATGAGTTGAATCAGGTCTGTGTTGGTCTCAGAGTTGTGTTAGTGAAGATTAAGATTAATGACGTTTTGGAGAACAGTATATCTGTAGATGTTTTCAATCAGTCAGGTCATTGTAGTCATGGTATATAATAGTTTTTCAACCTCCTCGTAGAATTAAACAAGCTGTTGTTGTTACTGTGTCTTTTGGACTGATATAAATAAGTTATCTTCGTCCTGATTGGTTGCCCCGTATTGTGTCTCATTCAAAAAACAGTCTGGGCTAAAACTCTCATTTTACCTTCACTTTGAATGGACGGAGCTAAACGGCTGTAGGCTGAATAAGTGAATGTACGTAATAGTAAAAGTTAAATCACAGAAACAATGGCTTCAAAATAAGTTGTCTTTGCAGCTTAGTTTCCATTTATGAACTGTATGGTCTCAAGAGTGAAGGGCATGTTTTGATTTGATATTTAAACAATGTTTACATACTACATTTAACTCTTTTACCCCAAAAAGCAGGGGAAATTTGATTTTACACAATATGGGCCCTTTAAATCTCTGTGGTTGATACATATTTGTGATACCGGGAAATTCATAAATTCAACTGACAGTCCTTTGAAGCCAGGAGGTTAGCATGAATTAGCATTAGTATAACAATGTTATAATAAGTCATTGATTAATTAGTCAACAAGTCAAATAGTCATTTAGTCAACACTAATTAATTAGTCAACAAGTCATTGATTAATTAGTCAAGTTAATTTGCCTTGACGTACTGATACTAGCCAGTCGGAGAACAGTCTTAGCAAGTGTTGTATGCTGAGTCATAAGTGACAGAGATCTATAATGGTTTGAGGGTAAGTCTTACAGTTGGGTTAGTTAGGTGTTGAGGTTGGGTTTTGGGGGTGAAGATTGACTGCAGTGAAGATTGGGGGTTAACTGATGTGTTATGTCTGTAGTTGATGGTTTTGAGTCTCAAACATAATCTCTGCAGGTGTGTTGTGTCAGTCACTACTTAACGGCTACACTTACATTGAGCTTGTCTGGCGTAAGTTTCATTAGCTCCAGGTTCTCCATGCTGTGGCGCCTGCTCATCCTGGGCCTTGCTCCTGGACAAACAACCAACTTCTGTTAGCAATCTATGCACTGTACCATTCTCTCTCTCTTTTTTTTTTTTTTTTAAACGCCATTTTCTTAAAAATAATACTAAATAAATAAAAAACAAATAAACCCATAATACCTACATAGTTTAAACACATTTTCCTTCCATTTTCTCTTATATAAATGTGTTTTATTTGTTGTTTGATTTTCAAAGTGGAAATAAGTACTTCAACAAAGAACATACTTCGGCACATTTTAATGCGTAAATACTGTATGTTTGCTGAATTTAACATACTATATGAAAATAAAACATCAAATGAGGCCTGTGGAAAAATCATAACACATTTTGTTTTTCCCTAATATGTTAAACTAAAACACTAGCAAATCTGCACTAAAATGAGCAGAATAATGGCATATTTAGGTGTGTTCTCTGTAGAGGATGTGTTAACTTATTTTCACTTCTACAAAACATGTAATTTGACCAGGGATGTTCAAACATTTGCATATGACTGTATTAGTTTAACATCTCACCGTGCAAGTTATAGTCGATCTCTTTGTTCTCAGATAAGACAGAGTTGTTAGTGCTGTAGCTGAGGCCAAGGACCATCTGGAGATCAGACACGTTCATACGGGCAGTAAGCTCACCGCTGCGGTCTCCGGTCTAAACAAACACACATATTGCATTTCTTACATTCAGTTTTAAATTCTGAAAACGTACATTTTGACTGTGTTACAAATGTATTTGTGATGTGCAGAAATGTACTATAATATAATTATACTGTATCAGATGTTCAGTATGAAAACAATAAAGCACAGTCTATGTTTATACAACACTACATCTTAGAGACGCTGGGTCATCATGCAGCTTACTACAAGGAATACAAATAATGGTCAAAATAGCACAGAGCTACAGACTAGAAGCTAATACCAAAGCACAGTTAGTATACAGACCTATGTTAACATTAAGAGTTCAGATACTTCTTTCTCTACTGTCATAGAAAGAGTTTGGGGAACTTTGGTAAGAGTTTGAGCTGTACCTCTTTAGAGATTTCCAGATGTCTTTCCGCAAAGTGCATGGCCTGGTCATGATTTCCCAGTGCTGTGTGCGCATTGCCTAAACTCCAGCAGGCACGGCCTTCACCAATCCTGACAAACACACACACACACACACACACACACACACACACACACACACAGATAAGAGATACGTTTTTAAATGTTTTTCAAAAGTGAGCACTGAGCTTGACTGTCTAATAAAAGGTGGAATTGAGTTCAACAGTTTAGATGAATAATCACCAAAAGAGGCCTCTCCATGTTATAGAAGGTATTTACAGAAGGCCAGTATCTGCAGATCTAAGATTACGTGCTTGAACATAAACCGACAGACATTCTGTTATGTAAGCTGGTGCTTGAAGGTCTTTTAGAGCCTTAAAACTAGTAGCAGAACTTTAAATTCCATCCTGAAAGACACAGCTAGCCAGTGCTGTTCTTTCAAAATGGGAGTGATGTGATCTCTCTTTTCGTTTTGTTCGAAAGCGTGCTGCCGCATTTTGTATGAGCTATAGAGGATGTATTATTTTCCTAGGGAGCCCAGTAAGAAAAACATTACAGTAAGCAACTCTGCATCTCTCTGAGATAGAAAAGGCCCAACTTTAGCAATATTTCTTAAATGATAAAAAGCTACTTTAGTGACTGCGTTTACATACAGGATAACGCAGAGCTCAGAGCCTAAGATTACTACCCAGTATTCAACACAGTGGATTAAAATCTTGTGATCAAAAATTGCACAAAGATCCAATAAGACTAGGATGAAGTAGTTCACTCTGGTTCTGAGGAAGCAGACAAAGTAATGACCAGTCTTTTGGGGTTAATCCTACACTAACATGGACACCAGAGAGATTGCTGCACTTCCTCTCCTAACGCTCAATTTCGTCAGCTGCATCAGAGTTTCAGGGTCTTGTTCGTGCAACAAGCTGTGGGTCAGCAAGTTCTGAATCGTGAATGACTATAACATTTTACATATTTCAGCAGCGTCTGACGGTTGGAGGCACGAGTGTATGAGGCACACATATGAAATAAATGACTTGAGAAATTTGACAGAGCTAATATTGGCTTCTTATTTAAACTTTTCATTCCACCTTGAATGCTGCAGTTACATCCAGGTGCCTGTGCAGGTGCCAGCATGCAAATGCAGCTCCATTAAAGGTAAAACGGAACATAAGAACAAAAAGCTGGCAAATAAGAATGCAACTTCAGGCTAGCAGAAATTCAGATGTGAAGCAATATTTAGCACTGTTTTTGCAAGACCCACCCTAGTGCTAGAGAGCAAAGCCAACATTATGAGGACCACAAATGCTGCAAAATATATGTCCTTTAAAGATACTGAAAATAGCCATTTCAGTACATCATTTTTGTAACCTAGGTAAGAGATGTACATAGTTTTGTACTCAAACCTCACATTTCGTCCACTCCACCCATAATAAACTCGAACGGCCCCTCATATTGTACAGTGTATATATATATATATATATATATATATATATATATAGTATATATATATAGTATATGTTTTATATATGTGTGTGTGTGTGTGTGTGTGTGTACCTGTCACTGAGGTCCTGAGCAATGATAAGATGTTTGAGATGGTAGTCAATAGCTCTTTCATAGTCCTGCAATAGTGTGTAGGTGTTGCCAAGGCTGTAGCAGGCCTGAGCCTCCACTGCCCGATCCTTTAGCTGCCTTGCCAACTGCAGAGCTCTCCTGATAGCCACCACACAAACACACAGGAATAAATATCACCAAACCAACACAGGATAAAGTCCACAACACAAACCAGAAAATCCCACTAGAATAAAGTAATCACTACAACATAAGTATGGAGTATATCACTGTTGAAAACATGGCAGATATGTCTGTCAAATTTGAATCTGATTAACAACAGTACTAGGGTTAGGTTAAGGAAAGCTGAAGCCAAGCCGAGGTCTGTCTACTGTTGTGTTTGATTTGATTTTATGTAACTAAAAATATAACTAAACCGAAAAAAAAGAAAAAAAAAGTGAAATGTGAAAAAAAAAAAAAACAAACACATGCGTACAAAAAAAAACCCCACACAAAATAATTGACTAAAAATACATTCAAAACCTAATAACCCTGGAATCAGTATAATACACTGGTTTGGGTAATAAATGGGTCAATAAGTAAAATAAGGGAAGAATGTTGGTTTACTTGTAGTGCTCAGCAGCCTTCTCAAACTCCCCCAGGAAGATGTAGGCGTTCCCTAGGTTACAGTACGCCCGCCTTTCTGCTGCCCGATCACCAAACTCTTTAGCAATAAGGAGCCGCTGGAAAAAAGAAATAATAATAAAACCACACCTGTGTAGTTCATTCAATACCCCTCACATTCCAGTAGACACTGGTGCATGTTAAATATTTAAATCAGTACCACTCTACACTTGTCTACTAGTCTACACCAGGCTTTCTAAACCAACGGGCTGTGGACCACAAGTGAGCCGTAAAGCATCCTTTGGTGGTAATGTTTTAAGAGTAGTGTTAAAAAAAACAAAAAACAAAACACAAAAAAAATCACAGACTTTTCCTCAAAACACGCAATCAGTAAACAGCTGTATTTGAATCCTGCTGCTACACCTGCACCAAATGTTGTAACATAATAATATGACTCACTGTGTTAAACAGTCTGTTACTTCTTACTTTCAATGTAGCACTTTATTTGATTTGGTGTTTTTTAAATAGGCAATTTTAATTGCCAGTTTGGCCCATTAAAAAGTAAATGGTGTTGTTTATATTGCAAGTCACAGTGTGAGTGGAAAAAATCAAAATAATCATCCAATTTGGCTGTAAAGAATCAGACTGAGAATCCATCATCCCCCAAAAAAAAAAATTAAATTAAAATTCATGGTCACTCCTCATAAAACAGAGGCTTCACCTGCTGGTGTGAGGCCACGGCACTTCGGAAGTTGCCCAGCAGGTAGTGAGTGTTTCCCAAGTTCCCGCAGGTGCGCCCCTGAGCCGCGCGGTCTCCAAGCTCCTTCACAATGCACAGATTTGCCCTGCAACAGCACACCGCTAGTCAGTTAAAATACACTGGTCCTTCATTACCCTTATAGTAATTTGCCCGCAACTTCCAGAAAGCTCAAATTTCTCACAGAGTAGATGTAATGATTAAGACAGTGGTTCTCAAACTAGTCCTCAGGGTACCCCAGCTCCTGAACACACCTGAACTAAGCGAGATAGAACACTGAATACATGGGGTAGGTGTGCTGGCATATTATAAATTTGGCATAAATAAACTTGGCCTCTCTGTGGAGCCCTCAGGACTGGTTCAAAAAACACAGGATTATGGTGTGGAATTTGCATAATCAGTACATTATTAAAATGTTATAACACAGGTATATGGGCACGCACACACAGCAGACTTACTCATAGTACTCTGCAGCTTTTTTAAGTGCAGTGGTGACCTCCTCAGGGAAGTCTCCAGGCTCTGAGTCATTCCTGCAGGTGCTTTTTCCTTTAGCATGGTACACATTCCCAAAGTTATACAGAGCTCTGGCCTGCCCCACCTGCCACAGCAATAAAGACATCACATATACTTCACATGTAATAAGGCATCATGCGCTAGGGTTAGCCAATTTGACAATGTCATCATCACAGCGTCAACAGTTTGGATCAACAATAGGCGATTTTTGCTGCTTAACTGTGCCAGCATGTTTAACAATGCCCAAGAGATCAGCCAAGATACAACCAACCATTATCAAGGTGTTTACAAAATGCACCAAGTACAAATGTGAAAACTGTCAGGAATGCAAAAAAAAACAAAAAATATCACAAGATTCAAGATTCACAAGATAGCAAATTAAATAATTCATTTTCACACAGTGGAAAAATGTTCTTTCAAACACCGACTATGCTCAACATGTTCAATCTGCTGGTGCTGCACGCACGAGAAGTAAAACTAAAATCACACGTACAGTCTCCCCAAAAAGATCTGACATTTTCTTTCTGGCAAAGTATTTTTTCGAAATGTGGCAGTAATCTTTCAGATCGTTATTGTTTGAGCAGTTTATTGGCAGACTTCTGCAGGTTTGCATCCAAAATACCCTTTTACACTTCCAAGTTTATGATTCCGTCAGTGAACACAAGCTCATCGAACATCAAGCTCAGCGTTCTAAGAAAAACAGCCTTTCATGCTTCAGCTTCTATGCTTTATAGTACTGCTTTAAAGACGCTGTTGTGTCTTTAAAGTATCAAACAGAGAAACACTGCTCCTCAGCCAACATAATTAATTAATTAATTAATTTAAAAAAAAAAAAAACACGGTCATACAGCTGTACTCCTATGTTCACCTGACTGAAAATAGTGAGGGAGCTTTAGTGCAGTCTGGCTTGAGTTTTCAGGTTCCAGGATTTCTCCATACAAAGGCCCAATGCCACTTCACTCCTTGCCTGTAGCATTTAGATCTTAGCCCTCCGTTTTGTGCAATCACGCCTAGGGGTAGGGTGTCCCGTTTTTTGTTGAGATGGAGGGGTAGGGCGAAGTGTTAGGGCTGCATGGCCGTCCAAACAAAGGTTTTTCAGAGGCTCACTCCAAACGGAGTGTTAGGAGAACAACCAAGGAAAAACCGGCAAGATGGCTGTGTAAACGACCAAAGAAAGTATTTTCTTCATTAGAAATTGCAATGTCATTTTATTATCTTAGTTTAATGTTTTAATGTATTGTGATCTTTTTCTTCATAACAAGCATAAAAAAATTGTTAATAGTATGCTAATGTTTCGGTAGCTAGCTAGCTACATTTCCCGTTGCACCTTAAATAGTCCAGCAGTTCTGATGCCTGAAGCACCAGAATGTAACTGCTGCTCCGTTTAAGGTGAAACGGGAAAATTCAAACAAGTAGCTGGAGAATAGCTGACTTCAGCTACATATCACCGAAGAATTACAAGTGGGCATTAATAAATAATTATCGCATCCCCCCTTCTTCAAAGGCCTATGATGCCCTAAATTTAACTAAAGACCAGCAGTGAGGTTGCTGAACCTTACCCTCCTCTGCTATCACTGCAGACTGGCAGGATCACCTACAGTGCACCGCTAGTAGCCTGTTAATGTAGTAATGTTCTTTTTTTATTTGAGGGTTGTCCTGTTTCGTAAAATTTCAACCACAACAACTTGTAACTAAGTTCCAAGGGGCAAGGTGGCACTCGAAAACAAGGGGTAGGGTAAAAATTAGAAATGGGATTGGGCCAAAGTCTCTGCCATCAGTGTGATAATAAAATTGGTGTTTTTCTCAAATATGATTATTAAAAAAGAAACCTAGAGGACTTTAAAGTTTACCCATAAGTCAAGGCTTAAAGTGTCCAAACACTTGTTGGGTACACTATTATCTCACACTCCAAAATAGGCTGGCATTTGAAGAAATGAGCTCTTTTGTGCTGTGTGTGACGTCCTGACCTTGTCTCCAGCATCTCTGCTGATGTCTAGATGTCTCTGGCAAAAGACCACAGCTTCATCAAAGCGCCCTAATGCTTTCAGCGTGTTCCCCAGGTTACCGCTGGCTTTGGCCTCGCCCAGCAAGTCTCCCATTGTCCTGAAATGCAAGCCAAACATGACACATTAAGCAATGCTCTTTATGCTTAGTTTAAAAGTTCGCTCTCAGCGAGGTCACTTTCACAAAACTGGATAAATGCACAAATGTACACGTAAGTGTATCCGTGTGTGGAGTCTAAGCGTCTATGCAAATGTAAATACTTTAATTTGATTTTCTGACTATGGTCAGTATGTATATTCCAGGTATCACTGTTATTTTGTGTATAACTTCATATTACTTGCTATGATTTTGTAATAAGATGTTCAATAAGCACATAGGGATATGATGATCATGTGTTCACAGGTTTTGGCCACATAGTGTACTTGTGCATGTTTGTATGAATTAGAGTACTAGTACCAGTTTTATATGTGGATTTGAATGAGTGTGCATACCTGGTTAGTGTTAGGTCATGGTGGTGAAACTCCAGAGCCTTAGTGTAGTCGTGTAGATGGAAGTAGGCGTTGCCCAACTGGCTGTAGATGGCGCTCAGCACCTGCAGGTCCTCAGTTCCCACTTGTATGGCAGCTTCAAAAAATGACACCCCTCCACTGTAATCGCCCACCTTACACAGGCGCTCCCCTTCCAGAGCCAGCTCCAGACAGGAGGCCTCCATCCTGAAGAGCACAGCAGAGAGATCATGAAACTAACAGCCAATGTCGACAACTCATTTAACTCAGCTGAGTGACCATATTTGGAACCTGTAATTATTCTACAAAACACCAGAAGAATGTCTCCGTATTACTCAACGAGTAATGAAAACTAAAATACAAACAAGGTTTCTACCACGCTAATAAACCAGAGTAGTGTCCCAAACAGTAGGTCCCAACAGTTATTCCTAATTAAAGAATAAAATAAATACTTGGGCCTCCATGTGTCGATTTCAAACCCAAAATATTGAGTTATTATACTGTCACTTTTCTCTGCTCTTAATAACAAAAACGTAAAATGTTTCCAAACCCTATCCTTTGACATAACATTAAACACACACCCCCTCCCCTTTTTTTAAATAAGAGGTAATTAACAGAAAGCAAAATTAAAGAATTATGGGATACCTCCAGCCCAGTGCTACAAAATTTATATAACTTATGACTGAGGATTCTGTTGTTTATTTGAGTATAAGAAGCATGACAACTGAGAACTAACAATCACATTACATTAAACTATTACATTATAAAATTAAAATCTGCAACATAATTATAAATTTATCTGTAATATTTTTGGTTAGCCACTTAAAATTGGTATGGGCCACAAAATTTCATATACATTGGGCCCTAGTAAACAGTGCGCCTACTTCTTAGCGAGACCCGAGAGCACGACTGGATTATTATATTAAGAGGATCTCTCATGACATGCCATTAGAACATTTACCAGACAACTTATACTGAACAACAATACATCAAATCCAGAGACTGTACAGCAACTTCCACTTTACATACAATAACATCAACTCTTTGGTTAAACTGCAGAGCTATCTGTGATTTTCCCTTGAAAATTTCTTTCAGTTACACACAAATCTGAATATGTGACCAGAAACTCAACTCATCCTCCTGCTTTGTAAATTATATATAGAAATCTGTCACTAAAGTAATCAAACCTGTCAGTAGTTTGTCATAACCATTTGTCCATTGCATCCAAATCCTTTCAAATCCTTCACAAATCCAAATCTCCTCATCACTTCAACTCTTTGGATGACTAAACTAAGAAGTAATTAGCCTTGACTATTATTTCATCTATGCTACAGCGCCTACCTGCTGCCTTTCACACAATCACAGCACACGGCGCATCTGATGGGCATCTAAAGGGCTTCCGCTGCGTTTGAACTGCTCTTTCCAGCTTTACGGACTGGGTTGTGACCCCTGACGAGGTTTCCACGGGGGGTATACTGGCTAAGACTAGCCGTTGCCGATACACAAACATCACAAACCAGCCTGTCCAACAGAGTCTCACACGTAAGATCACATAAAACTTAATGTAAAGCAAGTTAGAAAGATTTAGTAAGAAGCACAATATTAAGAAAATATATTCTGTCTACATGTGGAGCTGTAATTGTTCCGTATTGGAGGGCACAAATTGCGACTGGCTTTGAAAGAAAGTGCCGCACACAGCGTTTTCTCGGCTAATCAGATTGAGTCTTAACTTTCCTCTGTAATCTGTGATTAGGGAACATACAGAGTTAGACCATTAAACTGAGACACTACACTAAACAGAGATACTAAATCAAGAGAATGTGCTAAACAGACAAAGACTAAGCTACCGACCTACTCCAAAGGAGAAGGCATATAAGGAAACTGCAACAAACAGATTTACTAGACTCAGTGACTTGCTCTCCTTTAGCTCTTAAACAGTGAAAGTAGCACACAAGTCTGTTATACATGCACCTGATCTACTTGAAACCTGGGTTATATGACTGACTACTGGTACTGGTTCAATATCACCAATATCACAACTTTGCTTTAGAAAAGAATTTAGTAGAATCTGATTGGTTCCTGGGCCTGGATCACACATATCCGTCCCTTTTAAAGGTGAATTCCACCATTTTCCCTTTAATTTGTGCGTAATTCAATCACTGAGATGTCAGTAAAGTCAAAAACATGTAAAATGATGTATTGTAGAGAAACTTACTGACTCTTTACAGTGGTGGTGATAGGAACCATCTACAGCGTAAACATAGTCATTTTATTTACTATCCAAAACCACTGGTGAACCTACACGTGCTTGAGTTTTTTCAATGTTAATAATAGTAATATAGTGATAAATCAGAAAAAGTAAGTTTTAAGTACCATTTTGCCTTAAAATGCCCATGAATGTATTTTTTAACAAAACATTTTAGGGCAAAACCATATCTCTAAATAATTATATAACAACATTCAAGACATCAGGCAACATGTTTTGACCATTTTATGTAATATCTTTCTGTGAGGTAGCTTTTAGAGTTATTAAAGGCTTCAGTTCCTATCATTACTATTATGAACAATTCTGACTAAACAAGTTTCTCAAGAGTGGTTCAATTCACATCAAACCAACCTGAATGATATTGGGCAAAACAAAGATGACTGAACTGTATTCTGACATAATTGGAACTGAGCTGGAGTTCAATAGTTATTCTCCACACAATGCCTGTAGATTAAGCGCCTCAAACACTACTTCGTATGACAGCACTGCACTGCAAGTGTGAGCCAGTTCAATTGATTTTTACATGCTTCACAGAACAACAATACTACTAATAAAAAAAAATCCACATACCAATCATCCACTCCGAACTGTATTATTACAAGTTAACAAGTGAACTTTTTTGACCCTTCCATGGGCTAACAAATGACAAATAAATCTGCTAAACAGTTATGTCTGTTCAGCCGGCACGATCCTCGATTTCAGAGAGACTGCACTGTTGCTGTGGTGCTCTGATGGTCTGACAGGGAAATTTGAAACCATTTCAAACAATCAATACAGGCCAACATAAAGGAAGGTTTGCATGAATTGCAGCTGCTTACACTAGAAAGCCAAAAACCGCAGCTGAGAAGGCTCACCAGATGGGCACACAATGGGAAATAAAGCATAAATGATTCAGTGCTGTATTAAATATTGAGGAAGCTGAAAAGAGCTCTGCTCTCAGTGGCACACCTGCCTCCCCTAATGCTCATAGTAATGCTGTCAACAGGTTCAACACAAATAGAGTTACTGCCACAATAGCAGCCCTGACATACAGCTCTGTTTCAGTCAGCAGCATTTAAGGGCAAATCTGACAACTATTTTACTGTGTGCAAACTTTCATAGTTTCTCAGTGCCCACTTCCGAAACAGATAAAAAGAACCTGGTTAAACAACAAACTCATCCTAGAAGTCTGAAAGCACACAGGGAAGCACAATTGGAACTGGGTAAGATTACAATCAATTCCAAACACAATTAGCAGTCAGCCAATTTATTACTTTGATTTTGGTGGATCTGTGTGGTAATTCTATGTTGTAAATAATGTGAAGCAGGTTAGTGCACCTGCACTGTTTTTGAATGCTTCTGCTACACTTACACCAAAATGTTGCAGCATTTGTTACAGTGTTGCAGTCATATGCAAAAGTTTGAACACCCCCAGTCAAATGAAATGTTTTGTTGATCTTCTAAGTGGAAATATGTTAACACGTTTCTCCACAAAGAGCATACTTCTGCTCTTTTTAATACACAACTACTGTCCACTTGCTAAATTTAACATATTGGGAAAAAGATAAAGCATAACATGTGGCACGTGCAAAAACTGTGACATTTTATACTATTATTTTTCCCAATATTTTTAACTTGGTAAATAAACAGAAGTTGTGCATTGTACGTGCAGAAAAATACCGTCTTTGAGTTTGTTCCCTGTAGACGCTGTGTGAACTTATTTTCACTAAGAAAATACAACAGAACATGTCATTTGTCTGGGGGTGTTCGGACTTTTGTATACAGCTGTTATTATGCATGAGGCATTGCGTTAAACAGCAAGTTTCCTCTTACTTTAGAGCACTGTATTAGATTTAGGTTACTGAAACAGACAACTGATTTTTTAAATAGCAAATAAAAAAAAAAAAAAAAAAACTTGGTTATAAAGAAATCGGAATCAGCCACAAAATTGTGATTGGTGCATCCCTAATATAGACCAAATAAAAGACTCTCTAATAACAATAAATAATCCAATAACATTCACTTTTACTTGTAACTTTCAGTTGCTAAACTTCGGTCTACCATTTAACAGGTATTTTGTAAGACCAAGAACTCTGACCGACTTTACAACCAGCTGCTTTTCATTCAGCTATAAGAGCGAACACCAAACTGCTTTAAAAGCAACATGAAATGATACTGATGTGCCTACCTGTAGCAAACATGAAAGGAATTCTCCTCATCCCCCATTCTAGCCACTGAGCCACTCGCAGCCATTGAAGTGCATAATAAACACAGCGATCCCAGTTAGATCCGTAAGAAAGTCCAACAAATGAGAAAAATAAAATGTTTGTAAGGTGCTTAAAAGTAAAAAGAAAAAAAGAAAAAAAAAACTTCAAATAAAGTGTTTCTGTTGGCTTCCAACGCCTGAGTCTTCTGAGCGCGGTGGAACACGGTCCCAGCAAAAAAGTAAAAAGATGTCACAGATCCAGGCTCCCTGTCTCGATGGGTTTGGTTTGGAGTGTGTGCATGTGTGCATGTGTGTGTTTTATCCAGGGCAGTCTTCCGGGCCTCTCTGTGAAGAGAACACAAGATGCCGTATGTGAAGCCTCATTCTGTGCGTAATGCCATGGCAACACCCACTGAGCAGCGGCCACATGCAAGGCTGTATGTGCGTGTGTGTTAGTCCCTCACCATGGCAGACTGTGTGTGCTCAAGCTGAATCAAAGCAGTGCGTCCACTTGAGACAGAGTGTGTATGATCAACACAAACAGCACTGATTACACAGGCCAGAATGTAAACACTACAGGACAGAGCAAGAGGACTCGACGCCAATGAAACCCAAACCCCATTTCCCTGCACTGACACCAAGCAAGCTTAGAAGAGACCCCTTCCCCAGTGGTTCAACTGTTTTAATCCAAGGACTGTATTAGACTCATATACCGCATGCTTTTACTCAACTTGGACAACTCTAGGCTTAGTTACTGCACACTAGCGAGCTGGAATACATCACTCTAAAGCTCTGCTTACTTAATTCACGCATAAATGCTATATTATGTAAGTTTTGGGGATTTGGAGACCTCTTGGGTGGAAATGTGAAGCTGCACGCAACGTGTTGAACATTGGTGAAGGACATGTCTAGTGAAGATATGTGACTTCTGCACCCGAATGCTCTAACTTTTCCATTATTATTTCACGCTTTACAGGGTGACTTACAGTAGCGCACACTTTTTTGGTGTGTGCACTGCCAGGAGAAAAACAGGAGGCAATCTCCCCATGGTAGCGCTAAACCTTGGACAAGCGTGCCACTGAGGACCAAAATATGAGACACTCATGTATAAATATATGGCAGCAGTTCAGACTAAACTGCCACACGTGAACACAAAAATTCATGTAACCACCAACAGATAATATTTAAAACGTGAACCTCATTGTTAGCATGGGAATAACATATAATAAGAAACCAGCTTTTTCTGAAGAGAACTAATGAACAATAAGCAAAAAAAGAGGTAAACAAAGCCCAAAATAAAAACATATATAAATCTAAAAATACATAAGTCAATATTAGAGACTGTTGGACCATTATATCGATTTCACTCATTATCAGAATTTTTCTCTCTAAAATCCATAAGGGAAAACACAAACATTTATGACCCCACCCCCTCCCCGAAGACCCGCTTGGCTCAAATCCACTAGGCACCGCCTTACAAGATAACAGCTTACACACTTTGGGCCCACTGTTCTCATTTCACTTATAAATAGCGAATCCCTTTTTACAGGCAGGGATTTTTGGTTGAGTTCCCAGAACTGCGATGTGTTGAGTGTGGTGAATACTGTTCCATTGTCAAATGTCTTTCAAACGTGCGTCATTTGACAAGCCTACACAAAGATGTGTCAGCAGTACTGAGCTAATCCGTGAGTAAACTAATCAGCTTCACAGGACGACTGGAGATGCATTCACTCTAATTGTAGCTGAAAGACTAAAAGAGGTCTAGACAGCATCAGTAAATAATTAACCCTTTTCTAATTTTCTGCTGAGATGCTACTGAAGCATTTTAGATCCAAACTGACCTAAATCAGTTCAGTTCCAGTATTAGAACTCGAATGTCCGACAGTTTGGTGATTTCCCTGCTCAAGCACACCTACTAAACCTGAGATTTAACAGATGAGTTGAATCAGGTGTGTGTAAGCAATGGAATCACCAAACTCTGCCAGACACCAGCCCTTTGGAGCGGAATTGAAGAACACTGACTTAAATCATCAAGGAATGAAAGTATGATCTCTAAGTAAACTATTAAAATAATGGTGTGAGCACCCAAAGTGCTCTTCTGTCCTATTCATATCATAAAACTGACAAACATTAAGTCATCTTAGCCAAACAGCTGTGAAGAATGTCACAACCTATGAGTGAAAAACTGCTGATTATCTAGACAAGATGAGACTTGATTTTTGGCTTATGGGGAAATGAGGTGACCCCAGATAAACTGCTTCACTGAACAAAACTTGAGACATACTGGATAAGCTGACTCATCAGACAGCGAGGGCTTCTGGCCATGTACTGCACACAGACTACAAACAACTTCCTCTTTTCTACACAATTTACCTTACAGCATCCAGATACAATGATTGTGTTTTTTCAAATTAATCCTTATTATTTCCAAGAAGGAAGGGCTTGACTTAAAAAAAAAAATAAATTACAAGAAACAAGAGACACATTTCATCACAAGGTTTAATCAGAGGTTACTTGTAGGAACGCTTCACCAGATGATAAAATCGGCCAAGACATCTTTGGTGCCCAATGTTTGCTTCTTTAGTTTTACAGTGGATCTTTGAGGCCAATATCAAGTCTGTCACCCATAGAGATTTCGATTACTTTTTGACTACATAAAAGAAAAATTCCACTGATTTTTTCAGTTTTTTGCACAAATGAAATTTTATGATGTGTACAAAGTCATTCAGAGTGGCTTGATGTGAAGTGGTGAATTGTAAAGATACTTACTGACTCCAGTTTCTTTACAGTGGTGGTGACAGACACATTTTATTTACTATTCAGAACAGCCAGTGAAGTATTTATAATGTTAATAATGCCAAAATAGTGGTAAATCTGAAAAAAATATATATTTTCTTTGAAAACTATTTTGCCTTACAATGCCCTCCCTGCATGTACTTCTCCCCCATAAATATGAAAAATGCATTTTATGCCAATAGCTTATCTATTATTGTGTACTATTGTGAAATTGTATCGTGAATTATTTTGAACCATTTAATGTAATAATTTTTTGCGAAGTATCTTTTAGAGGTGTTAAATGTTTTGGACATCGGGGGGGGGGGTATTACAGAAACTTCCTTTTTTTTGTCTTAACCTCTATGATTTTTCACAAAGTTGTATTACAGAAGCAAATCTTATCTTAATTTAGGAATCTTGTCTCACAGCACCTTATCTCGAGTTAGGAAATCTTAACCTAATCGATCAAAGTCGACAATCAACTGTCATGTCTGCTACTAAGCAACCGAGCACACGCATAAACACGTAATCAAAATAATCAAGTTAGTTAGCCAGACAGCTACCATTACTGATGTACAAAAGGTTAAACAAAACTAGTGTGATAAACTTGAAGTTAAGAATATTGTGTCAGCGCTTCGTGCTGTTAATCAGAGCGTCACCACTCCCCAGTTTCAGTTTCCACTTCCCAAACGCTTTAGCCGACTGCGCTAATGTTATTCCTCCTAATAAACAGACACATGTTTAGCTCTGTCTCCTCATTATTCACCATCACTGTAACATCTTATTAGACGATTTTTCATCAACATTAACACACAATGGCAATAAGAGGGGACGGTGGAGATCATGTCTGTAGTGTCTGAGATTTTTAAAAGGCTATCAGAAGAAAAAAAAATCCAAGTCAAAGCACAGTTTTCACTGTAGATAAATGTAACATCATTATGCTAGTTATAGCGAACTATGCTGCCTGCATAAAACGATAAAAACAGGTTAAAACAGAAGTCAATACACTTCTGGGGTTGTCTAACAGTTAAGACAGAATTTAGAAAATTTTGTCTGGTCAGGATGTTTCTGTGATACTGTTTTATCATCAAGAGTCAGGATAAGATTATGAACGTAAGAACTTTTGTTCTGTAATAGCTTCCACCATAAGTCCAATCCTAACTGTTGTCATGTTGTCAAGCTGTCATGGTGTCAAGCTGTCATGGTGACTAAGCCATTAAAATTTCAGACGATTTCTGAAGTTTCTGTAATATGTCCCCTGGTTCCTATCGTCACCACTGTGTGTAAGTTTCACTTGAATGGATCAAACTACTCTGAATGACTTCTTAACCATTTAACTATACAGGCATTTATCAACGTAAATCAATGGAATTCCATTTTAATCTCTTAGCTCCAGTTTGGTGAGCAGTGCCTTTAAGGGAGGCATTGTTCTTATTCATCACGTCATATAAAGTCACACACTGTCAACATAAGCCAGACAATCTATCAGGGAAGATCATTGTTTATCATACGTTCCTCTTATATCTCAGGCCGTTCTTGGCTGAAGCATTTTTAATGGATCACGTGCAAGCAGTTTTATGCCAGGCAAAAAAAATAGTAAAAACTTTGGATACACGTAGTCCCAAAGCAGTTCATACACCATTCAGCCTCTTTGTTAAAACCACCATTGGGTGATGGAGGCGTGTTAGTGTGTGTTGCACTGGTAGGTGGATCAGACAAAGCAGTGCTGATGTGTCACTGCTGAACTGAGAACAGTCCACCAACCAAAAATATACAACCAATAGAGTCCTGTGGGCACTGATGAAGGACTATAGGATGACCAACACAAACTGTGCATCAATGGATGAACTATTGTGTCTGACTTTAAATTTGCGAAGTTGATCAACAAGGTAGGAGTGTTTAATAGAGTGGACAATGAGTGGACACAGTGTTTAAAAACTCCAGCAGCACTGCTGTGTCTGATCCACTTATACCAGCACAACACACACTAACACACCACCACCCCATCAGTGTCAATGCAGCGCTGAAAATGATCCAGCACCTAAATAATACCTGAAAATAATCGTGACACAGGGTAAAATAGGTCTGACAAAGTATGCAGAAAAGGACTACAGCCTGTAATTGCAGAACTACAATGTGCAACTACATGGTAAAAGGAGCTAATAAAATGGACAATGGTCGGCGTATGTTTTGCATAGGGGCTACTCATTTTCCACTGCTCTGTGCCAAAGTGTGAGTGCTAAGTGGGTGCAACAAAAAAAACCTAAACTAAGTTTTTCAAAATACATCGCATTGCTCTGTCAAAGCTGCTAACACCGCTCCTGTATTTTTGTGTGAGCTCATGTATAGAGAGCTACGCCTTAACCGACTCCTTGAATAAACAAGCTTAAAGCACAGAGGTTCAGCAGTGACAGCAAAAAGCAGACAGACAACTTTGCTGTTCAAAACAAAAGCAAGCAGTGCGTTAGGATACTAACCTGAAATATAACGAACTTGCTTGAACTTTTAAAGGACCTGCACGGAGAAAGTGAAAAATAAGTACAAACACACAGGTTTTTGGAGGAATTTGAACATCAGCTGAGCTACCATTTCTCAGAAATTTAAATGTTAACACCGAGCTAACTGTTTAAGCACAGGCTGCAAGCTGACAGATATTCTGTTGTCGACGACAAATTAAAAAAAAATGATTTCCTGCTTAAAATGATAAGCTTACTATGTTGTGTGCGTTATCTTACAAGTTGCTAAAGAAGACAGTAAGATGTCACTTAGCTGAGGGTATTCTCAGTTCCGACTAACGTTAACGTTAGCTAGCGGCCAGAAAAAGCACACGCCAGCTAGCTAGGTTAGCTAGCTCAATGCTAAAAGAAGTGCAAAGAAAAGCAGGATGTTTGGGGTAAAAGAGCATAAGTAAGAGCTGAGTAGCTTAGCATTGTCTGTAAACATGAATAACTTGCTAGTACTTGTTGAAAGAGAAGTCAAAGCGCTACGTTACCACGGGCTCCTCGAAGAGCTTCTCACAGCTCGTTTATGTCCGAGACGAACTGTTCTTTAAGTTACTTTAGAATGTTCCCTTTAAACAGAAAATATCTAAAGACGTTACAGTGACTATGAGCAAGCGTTTACGAACAGTTAACGCTTTTAAACTAGTGAGCTAAGCTACTTAAAAGTTTTATTTGAACCCTGAGAAGTTCCACAATACAACACCGCAGAGGCGAAGTCGCTGCCTGGCCCTTCAGCAGCCTATCAGCAGCGAATAATTCAAAGCTGGCCACGCCCCCGCGTCACCGCCGACAACCAATCAAATTTGAATGCTGAAACTCAACTGGACTGTGAAAGAAACACGTAAGAGTTATTTATTGTGTGCTTTAACTGACGTTCACTTTCCTTAGTCTTTTTTTGTTTACACTATTAATGTGTCTCGTTATTATCATGTGTGATTGTCTTTTAGGAAGAAAGTTTTGAGCCTGAACTTGGACCGAGAGCCCGTTTTGAGGGGCTTCGGGTTACCAAAGTAACCAAACTCCTCCCTTCTCCTGCAGCAGCCAATCCAACGCGTCAAAAGCCAGACTGGCGTGTGTATTATTTACGAGTCTTCAGGTGGTCACCTGAAGTGAGTTGTAACACCATCCTGACTCGTAACTCCTTTGGGGTGTTATGTCATGGTCCTTTTGCGTCAGCTATACAAGAACAGAGTATGCTGAATGTCAGTAACGACGGACACTAGCCAAAGAATGTCATCAAAAGGTAAGCAGACTTTCCACTAGTTCTTTAAAGGGGAACTCCACCGATTTTCCAAAAATCCTACATAGTTAAACGGTTGACGTGCGAGAAAAGTCATTCAATGGTTTGGTGGTCAGAATTGTTCACAGTGGTGGTGAAGAGTTTAATGCCTCTGAAAGCTCCCTCACATAAAGTTATCATATGAAATGGTTAGATATGCTACCTGACATTTGAGACATCGTTTTATGATAGTTTTGTGATGACGTTTTGACTTAAAATGTATTTTAATTTGTTAATGGCGGAGGGGTACATGCAGGGCGTTGTAAGACAAAATAGTTCCCAAAGAAAACCTTTTTTTTCAGATTAATCACTATTTTATCATCATCAACGTTACATATAAAACTCAAAAGGCACATTTAGGTTCACTAGTAGTTTTGGGTAGTAAATAAAATGGCTATATTTGTGTTTTAGGCATCATGATCCCTGGTTCCTATCACCACCACTGTAAAGGAATCTGATTCTGTAAGTTTCTCTACAATGATCCACTTCACATTAAACCACTCTGAATAACTCTGTTTACATCTCAAGGACTGAATTATTTAGAAACTTTGAAAAATTGGTGAAATTACCCTTTAACATGACCAATCGAGCTTGAATAGCTTACTGAGTTTAAAGCAACATCTAACTAACTGGACTTCCTTCAAGTCCGTGAATGAAACTGTTGCTGAAAGCAAGTGACGTAGTGGACATTCACACCTGTCATAGCAAAGGTTTGTAGTCTAAGATACACATTAAAGTAGATTGACATCTTCCCTACTGTTTTTGAAATATAGTGAAACATGTATGTACACTATAACACTCACAGTAGTGTGAACATTCAATTTCCAGTCAAAACGGCCATTGAGTACTAGTTACTCATTTTTCAGTGTCATTAAATGAGCAGGAAACATATATTTAATAGAAAATGACACAAAATACTCCAAACATTATGTAAAAAATGAAATATATCAGTATATAAAATATCAGTATATATAATCAGTATGTCTTAAAACCAACCAGCTACAGTTGTATCCTCTGAACAAAAACTGCACAGAAGCAATTACCCAAACTCACCTTAACTGCCTTGCACATTTCCTTCTCATGTGTATCTAAAACGACTAAAGGAGATACACTATATGGACAAAAGTATTGGGACACCTGTACATTACACCTACAGGAGCTTTTACGACATCACATTCTAAATCCATAGGCATTAATATGGAGTTGCAGCTATAACAACTTCCACTCTTCTAGGAAGACTTTTTACAAGATTTTGGGGTTTGTCTGCAGGAAGTTTTGGAATACGTTTCCACTGCTCTGCAGTGGCGGCGTGCTTTACACCATTCCATCCGACACTTAGCATTGTGCTTGGTGATGCGTGCATGCAGCTGCTCGGCCATAGAAACCCATTCCATGAAGATCCAGGCACGCAGTTTGTTGTGCCGATGTTAATGCCAGAGGAGGTTTGGAACTCTGCAGTTATTGAGTCAGCAGAGCGTTGGCGACATTTCTGCACTATGCACCTCAGCACTCTGCAACCCGCTCTGTAACCTTACGTGGTCTACCACTTTGTGGCTGAGTTGCTGTGGTTCCTAAATGCTTCCACTTTTTAAAAAATACCACTCACAGTTGATTGTGGAATATCTAGGAGAGAAGAAATTTTGCAAATTGACTTGTTGAAACAGTGGTGTCCTATTATAGTACCACACTCCAATTCAGTGAGCTCTTTAGAATGACCCATTCTTTCACAAGTGTTTGTAAAGGCAGACTGCATGGCTAGGTGCTTGATTTTATACACGTGTGGAAATAGGACTGAATGAAACACCTGAATTCAGTGGTTGAGAGGTGTGTCCCAATACATTTGCTATATGGTGTCTTTCTGAGGAGATATAGATTCGATATGAGATAATCCAGTTGCATATGGAAGAGGATGGTCAAAGGAAAATAAGAAGTTTCCAAACCTGGAGGTAAAATAATTATTAAAGGTGTAGTGAAAATGGGACTCCTAACAACCATGCAAGACCTAATAAAGCTGTGAGAAGACAACTCAGTGCTATGCAAGAAGCCTTTACTGAGGAAAGGAAACAGACCAAAAAAAGAAAATTTGCCTTAGAGCCCAGACACTGCACAGAGTCTGGATCTCACCATAACTGAAATGGTTGGGGATCACTTTGAGAAGCAGAAAATGCAACCAACTTCTAAGATGGAAGTTTGGAGGTATAGGAAGGTATTCATGCAGACTTATTTGGAAACCTAAAAGCAAGTCTCCTGAAAAGAATAGGAGCAAGAATATAGGCAAACAGTGGACACGCAAAATATTGATAGTATGTTGTTGTAGTTTTTGTTTGTATTTTTAGCCTTTTTGCTGACACTGAAAAATAAGTACTATACGCTCCTCACTTAATGGGTCTGTAGTGTGCTCACAGAACACAATAGAAGAATCCCTACTACAGCACCTACTCTTAACATCACTGAACGCCTTGCTTCTGTTTATTCTTGTGGTTGCTAAGAAATGAGTGAGGAATCACCTGCTCAGAGATGTAAGACAAACAAGGGAAGGTGCCAGCAGATTGGATGTGAGAGAACTACAGAAGAAGAAAAGGAGGATGTAGATGATGAGGATCATCCTGAGAGTGGCCCTTCAATGCTTTGGGAGAAGCGTTTTGAGCAGAGTATATTTGTGGATATTAGTGATGATGACAGCCTCCATTTGAGTGACCTGCAAGGCTCCTTCAGGGTGCATGTTTCACAGGACCAGGGGAGCATGCATTCCAGTGGTAAGAGTGTCTCCTAGTTTTGTACCTTATGGGTATAAGGTGTCATAACGTGTTTTTAAAGTTAATAAAGTTATTCAGAGTGGTTTGGTGTGAAATGCCCCATTCTAGAGAAACTTACCAAGTCAGAATTGTTTACAGTGGTGGTGATAGGAACCAGACGTCTGAAGAGTTTATGTCTATAAAAGCTACATCACAGAAATTATTACATGAAATGGTTATGAATATGTTGCCTGATGACTGAGACATTGTTTTAGAATAGTTTTGGGATGGTTTTGGCCTAAAATCAAGTCAAGTCAAGTCAGGCTTTATTGTCATTTCAGCTATACACAAGTACACAGTGAAACGATACAACATTCCTCATGGACCATGGAGCAACACAGGAACACAAGTGCGAAAAACAATACAATATACACAGTGCAGACAATACAGTACAATAAATAAATATGAAAGACTTAAAGGAGGTTGTAACATACTATGACATATTAGCAGTTTAGCACATAGCCTAGCATATATGAGCATAGCAGTCACTGAGGTAGCAACCAGAGCAGCAATATACAGTATACAGTATTTGGTTGATACAGTAATTCTAGTAGCTGACCTTTTTAAAGTGAAGTAAAGTGTGCAAAAATGCAAAGTCAGATATTGTTGTGGAAATAAAATGTGCAAAAATGCAAGTATTCAGATCTACAGTCATATCAAATGAAGTATTTCAGTGAAATGCAGTAACTATATTTATACAGTGTTCCATATTTGGGAACTGCAGGAAGTGAGGAGTGAGTTAGTCCCATATTGTTATGTATATGTATGGGTGGGTCCGTGGGAGTTTGAGGAATCTGATGGTTTATGGAAAGAAACTGTTGCACATTCTGGCTGTGAGGGCCCAAATGCTGCTATACCTTCTTCCACATGGCAGAATGTACTTTTTAAAATCCATACATGATGAAGAGGAACATGCAGGGTAAAATAGTTCCCAAAGAAAATGTATTTTTTCTGATTTACCACTATTTTACCATCATCAACATGACATATAAAAACTTAGAAGACATGTTTGCTGGTGGTTTGAAATAGTAAATAAAATGGCTTTATTTGTAGACATCATGACTGCTGGTTTCTGTCACCACTATTTTAAGATATCCGAGTCGGTAGGTTTGTCTACAATTAACCATTTCATGTCAAACCACTCTGAATAACTTTGTTTACATTGCAACAATTGTATTATATGGAAAATTTAAAAATCTGTGAGATTCTAGTGAAGAGCATGATTTTTTAAAAAATAATAAATATCACATTTATATAAAAACTGCATTTACATATACAAATGGGACTTTGTCTACTTAAATATGCATACATATTTAATAAACAAAAAGCTAGCCTTTTAATGATTTTCTCTAGAATTCTGAGGTTATATTCACATCAAAGATCAATTTTTAATTTTACTGCAATGTATGTAAGATGAGGTTCTTGTAGTAGATTAACACATCCTATCCCTTTAACTTCAGGCTGTTATCCAGTTATTGATCTTAAGATTTATGTCAATTCCTTACTCTTATAACTGCATAACTTCATAGTAACTTCATATTAGTTACTATAGTTACTGAATAATAGGTCTTTAGATTAATAACTGAATATAAGCCTGCAGTTTAAGGAATTTAACCATACTTAATAGTGTTTTGTTCACTTTTTTAGGAAATACAGGCCTTTCTCACTCATATGAGGTTGAACAGGATTCCTCTGAGAGCACTGTCTCCATCAGCAGTGAACATAAAGATCATGGCCACATCAGAGATGTCAAAGGCAATGAGGCAAAGGCTTCAGTTCCATATCCCAAAACAGCACCAGAGCGACCACGGTGGAGGCCTGATGATGACAATACCAGCGATGAAGACCAGGAGGAGCTACCATATGATGGTGAACTTCACCACAACTACATGCTCCACACTGAGAGCCCTACAGAGAACTCAAAAGAGCTTCGCACTGTGAATGGGACATACCAGCAGGGCTCTGGTGCATTATGCACGCTCAGCAAGCCCAGCAGAGATGCTGAGAAAGTAAATGGTGGAGTCTACAACACTGATCAACCTATAGTTGGGGTTATCCAAGGGCAGGAGCCAAGCCGAGTTTCAGCATCAGTCCCTGAGTTCTTGCTCAGGCATTTCTCCCAGGATGAGCTGCTGAACTGCGGCAGGTTGATAGAGGCAGAAACCATGCCTGAAGTCTCCCTCCTGGACAGCATCGATGAGACAGCGCGGAGCAGAGCTTCAGCCAACCTACACACGACCTCGGGAGGTAGGGATGGGCAATATGTCAACAGGATAAATTACATTACATCATTTTGAGCTCAATACTGAGCAAATGCATATATAATAAAAAGGGCCAGATTTAGACCAACTGACCTATAAATGCTCCACCCACAAATGTGTTCTGTCATAGCAACTTACAAGGTTGGACAAACTTAATAGCACACTGACAGAAGTCTCATTCAACTTAAAAGGGAACTGAAGTGCACAACACAATTTTTGTCAAAATGTAGAAATCATTCCATTCATGGAGATGCCACAGCCGTATGTCCAAGCCCTAGAGAGTATAATTGGCCTAACTCTGTCTGGGCGGGTAAGATAGCCCCCAGTCTTCCCCCAAATCATTCAGAGAAACCTAGCCAACACAGGTGTTCGTTAGCTGATGTAACAGAATTGGAAGTTAGCGTTCTCCTCCAACTGTATTGATTGGTCCACTGATGTTGAAAAAGTGTTTATTACTTATAAAACTTATAAAACATTTTTAAAAATTAAAAGTTTTTATGGGTAAATTTACAGTGAATTACTAGCTACCGAAATGCCTTATTTTTACAGTAGTAAAAATACAGGAGAATGTAGTTACAACACAGTGATCTTGAGAGTCCAGGAGACTGTGAAATCACAGCAAAAACCTGCTATTTTACTGTTATTTACTGTTAATATGGTAAAGTAAGCTACTAGTACTAGTAGCCAGTAATCTAGTGTAATTTAACAGTGTATAATAACTTATTTGAGAGTTTGGAACACACCCCAAACTAAGGTTGCAACAGGGCGGGGTAGCTCTGAGAAGCTTGGACAGTACTTCTGAGGGACTTTGCTGTGATCAAGGAAGCCAGACCCTCCAAAGTATTGTGATGCATATCGTATGTGATGAAAATGTCTTCAAGTATTGTGATATTATATTTTTGCCATATCATCCTCCCTCAGTGGGAGGCCACAGTGCAAAGATCAAAGCCAGTCTGTGTCTTCTGGAGGAGAACGAGTATAGCAGGGGTGAAAGCCACACAGCCTCGGAGGTAACAGACTCAAAGACAAGATCCACTGAAACAACAGCACACAGAAATAAAAACAATGACCAACTGGTAAATCGTTCAGCCATCCACAATCAGTCTGACTCCACTGTAGAGTCCAGAACGTCCTGCATCAGTAACGGAGACTCCAGTCCATTCAATTTAGCAGAAGGTGAGAAGGAAGACCAAGAGGAGAATGCGGGGCATAGCTGTAGTGCCAGCACACCAAATCTGCCTAAGGCAGACATCCAGTGCGCCAGGTTTCTTTTAGGAAGGACGCGGTCCTGCAGTGAGCTGAAGTACGGTCAGGGCCAGGTGCACTACCCTCTACCCGACTTCTCCAAAGTGGCCCCTAAAGTCAAGATCCCCAAGGGTAACGGACCCACCAAGCCTGGCTGCCACACATCATCTGCAGACAGAACTCACACAACAGCAGGCATTTTGGGTAAATCCCCATCCTCCTGTACAGCTGATGTCATCAGCCGAGTTTTGGAGGACTCTGTTTGGCTGACTGAGATGAGGAAAGATGAGGAAAAGCAATCTAGACTGGATCAGCATTTACAGGTGAACATGCATGATTTAATGATATTTATATGTCTTCTGTGATTGATTGCATATGCAACCAGAAAGCACATTTAAAGAAATACTTGAGTGTTTTTCAACATAAGCCCCATCTTCTGCATCTGTATTGTACTGTCAGTTATCATAGTCAATGATTTTGACATGTTTTCCTGTGTTCATAATAGAAGCTTATGGGGCAGTTGCTTCAGCATCTGCCCATTGACTTCTGTTATGAGTGAGTTATCGGTCAATTGGTTTTCTTTTCTTTTCTATGTACAGGGAAACACATCAAAATGATTGTCTGTGGTAACTGACTGTGCGATACAGACGTGGGAGATTAGATTAGATTGAAAAACACTCAAGTATCACTTTAATTATGGAAGAGGTTTGTCCTATACTTGGCTGATAGTGCTTACTTCATAACCAAGTTTCAATATTATTTCCCACCCAAAGTAATATAGCCTATATCCCACATTGTCACTCTTTTTTCACCCAAAACTAGAACTATGTTAGTATTTATATTACAACATGTACTGCTTGTATTCAACCTTTGAACTGATTACTGTATTGTGGACTGTTTTTTTCAGGCTGAATATAACAGATTACTTGCTAAATATCCTGAAGATGACAACCTAATCAACCTGATGAGACCAAGGGATCAGGTACATCACTTTTTCATACCTTCATGCATATTTCATGACCCCATTGCCGAATCATTGGTGATGAGCATGACTGCAAAACTGCTTGTCATTGTCATGTTGATCACCAATGATGAAACTGGTTAATATGTGTGCACTATTAATATATCATATTTTTATTCCATCACTTTACAATACATCAGATTAATGTCATGATGTAGAGTTAAATTGCAACATTTTTACAAGTTAACACATCCTTTACAGTAAACCTAAATATGGCATTGTTTCTGCAAAGTTTAATGCATAATTTGTATTTATTTGCTGAACTTAGCATTTTGGAACTGAAATGTGTCATAACTTTTGCACGTGCCACATTTTATGTTTTATTTTTTACCTAATATGTTAAATTCAGCAAATTAAGTAATTGTGCACTAGGATGTGTTTGCTTATTTTCACTTAGAAAATAAACAAAACGTCATTTGACCAGGGGCACGCAAACATTTGCAAATTATACAAGACAGTACATTATTGCAGCTGTTAAAGGAATACTTCAGCATTTTTAACTCAAAGAGGAATTCCAATGATTTTTCACAATTTCTGAATAATTCAGTTAAGATGTAAACATCTCCAATTAAAGACATTACAAGCTTGGACTGAAATGGCATTTGCTAGTGGAGATTTTGTGTAGACAATGTCATTGAACTATCCTCACTGTGCTGTAGAAAGCTTCACTATCCATGCGTCTGTGTATCATGCCATTATTGTTATTTACTTTTTCTGTTATTATGTATTTCCCAGATTGTTAGGTGTCATTTCTACATGTAAACAAAACTCAATAAAAAACTGATCCCCCAAAAAAGATGTAAACCAAGTCACTGAGAGTGGTCTGGTGTGAAATGCTCCATTCTACGGGAACTTACTGAGTCAGTATTTTTTACAGCGGTGGTGATAGGAGCCTGATGACTGAATGTCTCTAAAAGTCACCTCACAGAAAGTTATTATTTGAAACGGTTATGAATACGTTGTCTGATGCCTGAGACATTGTTTTCTTTTGAAGGACTAAGCTTTTGGCATAAAATTTTTTTAAAAAAATATCCATTCGTTGGTTGGCGGTACTATTTCACCAATATTCATGGTTCACTGGTGGTTTTGAATAGTATGTGAAATATTAATATTTGCACTGTAGACATCACAGCCACTGTTTTTTATCATCATGAAAATGAAGAAGTATGTATGTGTCCGATAACTTTCTCCACAATGCACCATTTCACATTAGATCACCCTTAATTACATTGTTTACATCTCAACCATTGAATTATGCCAGATTTTTAATATCTATCCTCTGCACCTGTATCAGGTGGTCTTTTATACAAAAATAATCATTTTGATGCATTTTCCTCTGTTCACAGAAAACAAAGGGCGGTTGTTTTTTAAGTGAACAGGTTTTCTGTTCTTTTCTAAGAACAGGGAAATGTGTTAATCGACTGAATGCTACAGATGCAGCATATAGAGATTATGTTGGAGAATGCTGAAGTGTTCCTTTAATAATAATTTACTGCCACTTGAAAATTGATATATATAAATAACAGCAGTAGTATTCTTTGAAAGTATGTTCATTTAACTTCTTTCCATCAAACAGATTCAAGCCTCTAGTGAACAGTCACCCTCAACACACAGGATAGAAACAGTCAGTGGACTAGACATCACACAAGGCACAGCCCAGACCAGAGCTGCACCACAAACCTCTCAGTCAATTGTGGAAGGCAAGTCGTCATTTTCTTTACTGCCCTCCTTCCATGAAATGTGAGAGTCCTTCTCTCTATACTGTAGCCCTGGCTACAAATTAACAAGAAACCTGATCTGCTTTCCTCGGTCATGAAACAGAGCGGTCCAGTGACAGCTGATAGTCGTACCAGGCATGAATAGGCTTTTCTTTCGAAGCACAAACCATATAAAGAATAATAGCATACAAATTAAAAGTGCCTCACTAGTAGGGTAAAATAATGTCTATTTGCATCATTTAAGAAACTTGTTATTGGTATAACAGTAGACACTAACCTACTTAATTTCTGTGTGTGATGATAAGCAAAAAAAGTAATGTAAATGTATTGAAAATGTGGTATATTTACATGGGATTTCAGCAATTCTTTTATGTTTTTGCATAATTAAATGGTTAAGATGCAAACAAAATCATTCAGAGTGGTTTGATGTGAAATGCATCATTCTAAAGAAACATATCAGGTCTGAATTGTTTATAGTGGTGGTGATAGGAAACAGCAGTCTGAAGTGTTTAATACATCTAAAAGTGAGCTATAATGGAAAGCTATTAAATGAAATATGAATATCTGTACTTTAAAAATAAAAGCCCATTTCCAAAAAATGGGACGCTCTGCAAAATGCATTTCCAAAAAATTGGGACGCTCTGCAAAATGTAAATAAAAAACAGATGACAGTGATGTGCAAATCATGTAAACCCTATATTCAATTGAAAATAGTACAAAGGCAACATATTAAATGTTGAAACTGAGTATTTTTTCATATATGCCCATTTTAAATTTGATGGCAGCAGCACATTTTAAAAAGTTGAGACAGGGGCAGCAGAAGACTAGTAAAGTTGTGTAGTGTTAAATAAAACACCTGGTTCAACATCTCACAACTAATTAGGTTAACTGGCAACAGGTCAGTAACATGTTTGGGTATAAAAAGAGCATCCCAGAGAGGCTGAGTCTTTCAGAGGTAAAGATGAGGAAGGGTTTACCACTCTGTGAAAGACTATGTGGGCAAATAGTGCAACAGTTCATGAATGACATTTCTCAACATAAAATAGCAAAGAACTTGGGGATTTTATCATCTGCGGTACACAATATCATTAAAAGATTCAGAGAATCCAGAGAAACCTCTGTACGCAAGGGACAAGGCCAAAAAACAGTTTTGGTCTTGATCTTTGAGCCCTCAGGCAGCACCATATTAAAAGCATGCATGATTCTGCTGTGGAAATCACTACATGAGCTAAGCAACACTTTCGGAAACCATTGTCTGGGAACACAGTTTGTCACTGCATCCACAAATGCAAGTTAAAACATAACCATACAAAGAAGAAACCATACATAAACAGGATCCAGAAACGCCACCGCCTTCTCTGGGCCCGAGCTCATTTAAGATGAACTGAGGCAAAGTGGAAGAGTGTCCTGTCCTTTCGATGACTCAAAATTTGAAATTCTTTTTGGAAATCAGGGACACTGCTTCCTCTAGGCTGAAGAGGAGAGGGACCATCCAACTTGCTTTCAGCGCACAGTTAAAAAAAACAGCATCCGTGAAGGCATGGAGGTACATTAGTGCACATGACATGGGTGACTTGTACTTATACAGGTTTGGAGCAACATCTGCTGCTTTTCAAATGACGTCTTCTTCAGTGAAGGCCTTGCTTATTTCAGCAAGACAATGCCAAACCAGATTCTGCACGTATTACAGCAGCATGACTCCGTAGTAAAAGAGTCCGGGTGTTAAACTGGCCTGCCTGCGGTCTAGACCTGTCATCTATTGAAAACATTTGGCTTATTGTGGATGACAAAAAAAGACCACAAACTGTTGAGCAGCTGAAATCCTATATCAACCAGGAATGGGTTCCCAAATGCTCAAAAGAAGAGGTGATTCAACACAGTGGTAAACATGCCCCATCACAACTTTTTCGAAACATATTGCTAGCATCAAATTCAAAATGGGTATATATTTAAAAAAAAAAAAAACAATAACATTTCCCAGTTTCAACAATTGATATGCTGTCGTTGTACTATTTTGAATTAAATATATGGTTTAAATGATTTGCACATCATTCCATTCTATTTTTATTTTCATTTTGCACAGTGTCCCAACTTTTTTGTGAAAGGGATTGTATGTTGCTGATGTCTGTAACAGTGTTTTGCGATAGTTTAGCAATAAACTTTTGGCCTAAAATGTGTTTTTTTTATGTTTTCATGCTGGAGATGTACTTCCAGGGTGTGGTAAGGCAAAAGTGTCCCCAAAGAAAACTTCCAGGGTTCACCACTGTTTTATCCTTATCAACATTACATATATATAGACTCAAGGCTCACTGGTTGTTTTCGATAATGAATAAAATGGCTATGTGTTGTAGACATCACGACCCCTGGTTCCTTTCGCCACCAGTGTAAAGAAACCTGAGCTGGTACATTTCTCTACAGTACAGTACTTTACAATAAATCACTTCGAATGACTTTGTTGACATATCTGTTCATATATCTGTGATATGTGTAGGGTTGGTTGAGGAGAAAAGAGATGCGGTGCCGAGCTCTCTTTCTGTGCAGCAGAGCATAAGTGAGGGCCAGAGACTGACCACTGAGCTCAGAGCCATTATTGAACAGTTTATGAAGAAGGTAAAACCAAGTGATTCATTGAGCCTCTGTGTTGAATCTGTGTTAAGCAGTGTACTGTGTGTGTTATATATATCACATGAGAATGTAATAAATCAAATCAAAATGGATGTTTTTTAACTTTCTTAGTTCACATTAATGGTTAGAGTTGGGCAAAAAGTAGTGATGGCTGAAAACTGAATGCACTGTCCCAAATTTATTAGTAACATATTCCAAAACAATACATAAAAAAGTAACATCCATTTAGAATACACATTGATGAGACACAGGGGAAAACCTTCTTTTTACGTAATTTACACTGTTCTTCACACTGGTGGTTTTCTTCATGTAATTCTTCTGTTAATATGTTTCATGAACAATTTGCTCATCTTTTAAACAAAGTTCTGAAAATTCTCAACATTTGCTTTTCTCTTTCATCACTTGCTTTCAAGTCCAGTACAACACCGATGCTAGGCGTAACACTCACAAACATGTCCACCATTAAGATTATTAGTTTGATCATGCCAGTTATCAATCTTAGTAACACTGAGATTAATAACTGACTCATCTCATTGATTTATCAGTCTACTCAGGCTTTAGCAGGAACTTCAGTGTTTATAAAGAAGCTGTTATTTGAGGTCCTTTTCAAAGTTCATTTAATGAACATGTTTGCTATATGCTGTGGGCTGATTTTAAAATAGTTAATAAACAGGCATTGATGATGTTTCTTTTAAGGATTGCCTGTTATGTTACGTTTCAACCCTGTTCCTGGTCATATTATCCACAGTTCATCATATTAAACCATTTAAAAGACAAATTTGTTGTTGTTCCATAACCTTCCATCAAAATGTAATGACTTTTATCTGCCTCGAAAGCATCTTCAGATTTTTGGACACGTCACTGCTGCACACAGCAGTGGGCGGAAAAAATAATATTAACCAGTAATATCATGTAACGTCCCCTTCCAGCCACCCCCACCTATCGTTCAGAGAAATGCTCAGCTAGTTTAGAGACCTTTCCTGATACTCTGTTTCACTCAGAAATACACCACAGTATGGGAAGGAAAATACATTATGATTAAGTAATCTGATCTTATTGTTCTGCAGCATCCAAAGACTATTATCACATGCAAATAAATAAAGGGGTGGTGCCATTTTAATCCAAGTTATAAATAAGCAAATCATATTAAAACTGTTAAAGGTGCAAAAGAATTGATGCAATCATGCAAATGAATGTCAGTTATTGAATACATACAAATGTAAACTCACTTTTTTCTGTCTGCCTTGGCAGGTGGAGGAATTCAAAAAGTGCATCAGCAACATGTCGCTAACTGTTGAAGAACAGCAAGAGGTAGCATCCCATTTGTCTTCTCTGATTTTTGTAATATAGAGTAGTCTGGCTAAGGTCATCTATTGTAAAAATGAAACAAGGCCCTCATTTACCCTGGCCATTATCATACAGCATAGGTCTGATCATAAGTGGACAGATCACTGAATCCACTTTCATAAGTGGTCGGTGACTAGGGCTGCACCATACTTTGTATTTTTATCATTATCACCTTTGAGTTGCTGTGATGAACACAACATAAAGGCATGCGGTGATGTCATAAAGGGCAACAGTGTGTGTAAAATGTATGAAGCAGTAATGTTACAACTGTTACAACAAACCTGCATTATCATAAGGAGCTTTTTAAAGGAATTAAATATGTAGTTATTTGCTTTTGTTGGCCTGTATTAAAAATAAAAAAATTACATATTAATTCACGTTTGTAGCCTGATTCTAAATGCAGATTTAAAAAGCTGTTCAGGGAATCCAGACTGATTTTAGACTGAGACACCTCATGGAATTCACTCACGTTTCGCAGGCTACAAATTCTCCCCAAGGGGAGCATTAGTTATTTAATTGCTTAAAAACTCCTTATGATAATGCAGATTTGTTGTATAATATAGTCATTTACCCTTAACATTTCCATGTAACTCAGATGACAGATGGAAGGGTACCACACTCATTAACTACACCAGTCTTTCATTGTGTTTGCTGTCCAGGGTCATTACAGGTGACCTCAGTCTCACTGTGAGGCACATAAGGTGCCTCAGTCTCACTGTCCACTTGTAATCAGATCTGTAAAAACGAATGTTAATACTAGGTATTAAAGGGCCCAAGGTATGTGCCCATGTGTGAACGTTTAAGAGTGTCTGTTTAGGTCACATGTTATGGTCAGGGTGATAATTGTATTGCACCAGCATGCTGATAGTATCCGCTCTGTGTGAGCAGATGTTTGGGTGCGTGTGTGTGGTTTGTGTTCTCTGTGAGCAGGTGTTCAGATGGTGTTTTGTGTTCTCCATGAGCAGATGTTTAAGGGCATGATGGAGGCTCAGGATCAACTGGAGCGGAACTACATGAGTAAGAAAGAGGAGCACAGAGTGCTGGAGATGCAGAATTATATGGGTCTCGACAGGAACACGGGGGAGTTTGACCCTGACAGGTAGAAAAAAACGTGTTTAAACCAATTTTAGAGCAAAAGAGTAGCTTAGGAAAGAAAGTCTTACCATTTAGGCAAAAACTAAAATTTATACCAAGGAAGACACTTTGATAAACATGAAGCTGTGTGATGCAAAATATTTCAAATCTATTAGTCAATAGCTTTTTTTGTCTTACTTAAGTCGAAGGGCTGCATGATTAGGATGTATATAATGTGATGTTCATGCGATGTTGAATATTGCAATGATGCTGAGAAGCAATCCTTGTTTTGGTTGTGTGAACCTGAATACCTGAGCCTTTTCTATATAGCACTATAGACATTTTGCTATAAAAGTTTGCTGAATTTAACATATTAAGAGAATCTCCTAAAACATAATATATGGCCTGTACAAAAGTAATGGCACATTTTATATTTTTATATTTTATGTTATTTTCTAATATGATAAAATCAGCACATTAACAGAAATTATTCATTAAAATATGCTGAAGAAATGCCATTTTTAAGTGCACAGTAAACTTATTTTCACTTAGAAAATCAACAAAACATGTAATTTGACCAGTGGTATTCAAACTTTTGCATGTGACTGTATCTATTTGAATGAAGTTAGGGAATTAATTCTGCGTTGACCTTCAGATATTAAACTAATATTCTTCTGGAAATTGTTAGCCTTTTTCATATTTGTAGATGTCTTGCATGTGGGCTGTTTATAACATACTCATGTGGATGTGCGGAAGGCAGGTGGAAGGAGAGATATTCCGGCTAGGCATGCAGCTGGAGGACATAAAGGAACAGATAGACAGAAACACCCATCATGCGTTCTCTCTTCCTCACTCATCCTCCACTCCCACTCCTTCAGTGCATGGGGAGTTCATCCCTTCTACCTCACACCAGCCAACACTGCATGAGGTGAGACTGGCTAGCTGCATGCGCTCTCACTCATAATAACCTTACCATTGTCTTTCAACCTTCATAATTGTAACAAAATGCCCACTTGGGAAAATGTTCCCTTGCACTTGCATTAAAAGTCTGAAAAACTGAAAGCAAATCATCTAAAAAGAATGGAAGCTGCAATAAAGGCAAAGGTTGGACACACTAAATACTGAAAAAATGTAGTTTTATATTTAGTTGTTGTGGCTTTGTTTATTTTCTGTGAATCGTGTTTCCTGATTTTTTTCTGACGCTGACAATTTAATCAGTTGTAATTAATGACTGTTTTGGCTTGAAATTAAGTATGTGAAAGAATAATCTCTGACCTTTGCAAAGTACTGTATGTCCAATTAAATCTTGACCTAACAATCGAAAATGGTGTTGAAACTGACATGTTCTGTATCTTTACACCCCTATTTAGCAGCAGTGAATAAAAACATGGCTGCAGTTTATCTGTTCTTTCCACTGTGTTCAGTTATCACTTAAGTTATCGAATAGTTGATTACAGAATAAAAACACACTGTCATCAGGTGCTAATATAACAGCCAACATCTCACTGGAGAGATAATGGAATGAATGAGGCAATGAATGACCGTGTATCAAGTGTTTGTTTATGCATGTTTGTGTGCTTCTTGAAATGACTAAATTAACTCGCTCACTCATTGCTATTACATAAACTCATATGCCAAGTGAATAACAGTGTTCCACTGTGCTGATTTGCTCTTCATGCATTGCTGTGCTGTGATATGATAAGTGTACTGCATGACAGATCTGTACAGGCTGCACTTTGGCTATCTCCTTACAGGAGCAAGTCTTCAGTTTCTTCACTAGTGTGGTAGAGGAAGAGGAACACTTTAAAGCTATCGATGGAGTGCCTGGAGCTGCAGACTCACCCCTCAGCTGCCCCAGCGAGAACAGCTTCAGGCTACAGTATGTTCTTTACTCTAGGACAGGGGTGTCAAACTCAACCAGTAAAAGGGCCACATTTAAAAATCTCAAATCTGGGGGCCAGAGAAAAAATGTTTTTCTTTCAGTTTTAATTAATGTTGTGCTACAACCTGAACTGGCCGCTGTTTATTCAAAATATGCAAAAACTTCAACAGTAAAATACAGACACTTGTAGTAAACCTTGAAATATTACATGGACACTTGAAATGTTCAAAATTTAAATGCCCCCAGGTGCTCAGTCTTAAACCTACCTATTTGCTTGAACTAGACTGGCATCCTTTCTTTGCTGCAAGTTCATTAAGACTTGGGCTCAATTTCTGAGCTGCTGAGCTGACGTCAAGTGTTTATATTGGTTGAAGTTCAGCTGAAATGCATTTTGGTGATATGACTGGTGCGGAATTGCGCAGAATTGTGTAGAATTGAGGTGAAACCGCTGTCCCATAGATTGTTGCTGGGGTAGGAGAGTCGGAGCACATTACGTTGCAGTGCATGCTGGGGACTGTAGTGCAGCACATTGTGAAACGGGCTAATAATAATAGAAAATTAAAATACTTTTGCAGGCTGGATAGGATTGTGTGGCAGGCCTGATTTGGCCTGTAGACCTTGTGTTTGACACATGGGCTCCAGGGTGACACTGCTACACTTTATATACCTGTGATGCCAAATTCTACTCCTGGGTTAAAATGATAGTTTGGGGAAAAAATGATGATGATGATGATGATGATTTATATGGTTTTCTCCCTTAACCCAAATGTAATAGATCAGCCGTCTTTGAGTTTGTTATAGGGCAACAAGGCTAACATAGCTAAAAATTCATGGAAGTTTATACTCTGCCAATTAGCATCACACAAACTGCATACCTAAATCACCTTGCCTCAATCCCTGTGAAGTTAAGTCATCCTAAACAGGCTGTAAAAACTTGCCGACTGAATATTGTCTGTACTTTTGTGCATTTTTATAGATAACAGCTTGTCTTACAAAAAACACATGAGCAAGTCTGTTTGAGATTATTTACTAACTTAATTAGGTTTAAGGCATGTGTGATGATTTGGGCATGTGGGTTGCACAATTAGTGATTGTTAGATTCCATTACTTGTTGGTCAAGTTAATTTTGTAAGACTGAAACTGAGAACCGCTAGTTTATACTCGAATGTAACATTATTTCTGTATCAGAAAATATACCCACAAACAAGGGCAGTTTAATGCACTAGCTTACCTGGGCTGAAGCCAATGGGCCTCAAGTAATTCAGGGCCTCTGACTGGCCCTCCAATTACCCTCCAACAATTCACACAAACACACACCAATGATTATTTTTAAATGCATTTCATTTATATCCGTGACTATTGATTGGCAATATTTATTCAAAGCGTCAGCTCTGATTGCCGACTGTATTGGACTTGACTAAACTTCAGTCCATCTCTGCTGATAGAATCCAAACCCTGGAGACTCGATCTGTTGTCTGGACAAGTGAAGTTTATTCATTGTGCGTGCAGGTTCCAGACACCCAGCCAGCCCGTAAGACAATGGACTGTCACAGTTTTATAGCTGGACTGATGCCAAGATTAGACCCAGCTTATACAGGACAAGTAACAGGTGTGACAACGTGACCATATAAAGAGAAACACAAAAATATTTTGGGAAATTAAGGTTCCATGGTTATAAGGAACGCCTACGCCGGTGGAGTTTAGTCATTAAGCACCAGAGTAATTTGAGGCAAAAGTAAATAACAATAGCAACTATTACCGGTGCTACAAAGGGAAGTACATAACGGTTGCAGTTGCTGTAAGATTCCAGAAAATATACCTCCAAAAATGTTGCCAACCCAGTTAAAGAACTTATCAAGCGATCCCTCCGGAGCAGGATTTGGAATGAGTCTATGAAGGTCTGCTACGTATTTATCAATATTTTCATAGTTATCTGGGACATAGATACAGCAGGAGGTATTGAGAATGTGACATACCCCTCCTTTTTCTAAGGTCAGCAAGTCTAAAATCTTCCTATTCTCCAGCACTACTTCTCGTAACGCACAGAGTTCATCATTTACTAAGCGGAGAGCTTCAATAGTCTCATTAGCTAGTTTCTGTGTGGAATAAGCCAAATAATTTATCTTCTGTAAGGCATCTACAACACCTCCAAATGGAAATATTCCCCACCCTACTGTCTGCGCTATACTAGACCAGGGGTGTTTTATAATGTGACCATTCCATGTTTGTTTACCTGTTAGGGTAACGCCAAGTTCTCTTTTCATACGAAGTAAAAGTCCATGAGATTGCAATGTGATCCATGGATCGGTATGGACTGTAATAGGAGGCATGACTACAGCCATGTAACAGGAACCGCACCATGAATCAGATGGGAGTGATGGATAAGCCTTGTTTCCACAAACCCAGTAGAAACCCAAAGGGAGTGGTTCCCTCATCCAAATACCGCATGGGTTGGTATTTGTGGTGGTAGAATGTTTACACCAAAATGTGCCATTCATAGAGAAGGCAGAGATTGGAACGGAACATGTACTGTTACCAAGATAAGTGTACTCTGGATAACAAGGTTTGTCAATACATACCCAGCCTGAGGAAGCCCTCACAGGAATGGGATCTGCTACTCCATAATTCCAGCTAGATTTATCCCGATAATCACGCGCTATAGTTAAATTTGGATAAACCATGAAGTTGTAATTAGTACTATCAACTCTAACAGTATACTGCCAGCCAACAATTCCTTCGTCACAGTCTCCGGTCTGCTCTGGGTATATCCTGGAAACAAAACAGACAGACACTGTGGCAGCATCATATTCTTAGTACACAACCGGTGCCTTATGCCCTTGCATAAAGGTTTGGTTTAGCCCTTGTAATGGATACCTTCTTTCCCTACCTAACCTGGGTCCTGGCCTCTGCTGGGAGTAGGGGAGCGCTAGTCACAAAGGGGAATTAGGAAGATCTTCACTCTTGAGGTTGACCCCCATGACCTAAACATCATAGTTCCCCCTCAGAGCATCTCCCAACCAGAGTCACCCATTTTATCCCTAAACTAGCCATCACCATCAGGTGGTGGTACGACCTTGGTATGGCTCACATGTAGCCATTTTGGCTTTTCTTGACATTTTAGAGCAGAGGGTGTAGTTAGGAGGACCTGATATGGACCTTCCCCACTTTGGCCCTAATGGCCGAGTGTTATGCACCTTAACCATTACCCACATACCTGCAACGATAGGATGACCCCCACTTTGTGTGTTCTTTCCATGCATCCAACACTTGTTTCTGAGCAGCGGCAACAGCCTCAGATAATGTCTGGCAGTATTGCAGCAGACTATCAGACATAACATGTATATCTGCTGCTTTTAAATCAGTAGTTCCTGGAAGTGACATAGGACGACCAGTAATAATCTCATATTGTGACAGCCGGGTACTTCTGTTAGTTGAAGCTCTGATGCTGCAAAGTACAGCCGGTAAAGCTTCCACCCATGAAACCCCTTCATGATGTAACTTGGTCAGTCTGGACTTTAAAGTTCTGTTCATCCTTTCGACTTAGGAACAGTGGAGATGACACTTTATCTCCAACAACCTTGCTACTTCTTGACAAACCTTCCCAGTAAAGTGAGTTCCTTGATCACTCTCAATGACCCTTGGGAGACCCCACCTTGGGATAAAATCTTTCACCAGACATTTAGCGGTATGCAGGGCAGTGCCTGTAGTAGTGGCATATCCCTCAATCCATCTTGAGAACTTGCAAATTATTATCAAACAGTCCTGTTTTCCCTGGCATCTTGGCAAAGTGATGTAATCTACCTGCAATTCTTGAAACGGGCCACTTGGTGGTTACAGTTTGGTAGGGGAGGGAGACTGCAAGTCCTGGATTTGCCTTAAGACAGTTGATGCAAGCTAGACAATGACTCTCTGCATACTTGCGGAATTTAGGATTCCACCATACTTGGTTGAAGCGATGTACCATCTGGGTTACTCCAGGGTGACCTAGACTACCATCGCGAAGAGCTGCACCTCGCTCAAGCCAAGTCCAAACTTCCAAACCCGGGGCCTGCTGGTATAAAGCAAGTAGATCAGCCAAATTTTTAACAACAGGTTGTTCACAGGGTGACAGGATATTTTCAGTAGGCAAAAGACAAGCCCTTTTTGCCGCATTATCAGCTAAACAGTTGCCTTGGTGTTCAGAAGATGTGGCAGAAGAATAGGCTTTTATTTTACTAATAGCAACCTGTTTTGGAAGTGTGAGCGTTTCCATTAGGTCTGCCACCTGCTGAGCATTTTTCACTGGGGTTCCATTTGCTGTCAAAAATGTCTCTGCTTCCATAACAAGCCTAAATCATAGCATATGCCATGGACATACTTTGAATCGACAAATACATTTGCTTTTAAATCTTTAGCAAGCACACAGACACAAGTTAATGCTATCAGTTCTGCCTGTTGTGCGGAATAATGATCCAGCAATCTGCCGGTTGCTATTTCTTCATACGGTGTTATGACAGCCCACCCTGTGCGTCGTCCCTCATCAAGGATGCGGGAAGAGCCGTCTGTGAACAACACAACATCAGCATTTGGCAAAGGTGTTTTAGCATACATGCTCTGCACCGCACTAGACACCAGAGTTTCACAGTCATGATCATCTGAGTCATACTCCAGCTCTGCCAAATGATCTGAAATAGCATTTCCAGCTGCTCTTTCGATCACTGTATTAGGGGCAGTTAAAACTGCAAGCCAGTTACCCCTCCTTTGTGCTGTCACTGAAAGAATCTTGTCCTTTCAAGAGGAAAGAGGAAACTCATTGTGGACATTTCAGTGAGAACTTGATCCAAAAAATTAGGAGCAACAGCTAAAACCACACAAATAGTTTGCCTGGGTTGCTCTCAGGCAGGTGACATTCCAAGCATAACCGTGTCTATTTTAGCAGAGTAATAAAACACAGACCTCTCTTTGTCACCATGAGTTTGAGTTAAACGGCTAAACACAAACCCTAGTAATGCTGAAACATACAGTGTGAACAGTAGTTCCCTGTTCGCTAGTCCTAGGGCACTGCATAATGCAGGTTTAAAACTCTTAACTGATCATAAGTTAGCTGAAACTCAATTTTCTGATTTTCTGGTTTAGTTAGATCGTATAGTGGTTAAACAGATTTTCGCATAAACCTCAATTCAAGATTGTCAATAATTGCACAACCCCAGAAAAGATTGCAGCTGGGCTAACATATCAAGTAAGAAAATAGCACACACTGTGGCACAACAGTCAGGTAAAATTGACTTCTGAGCCTGTAAAACCAGCTGTCCTAAATGCTGAACAGAGGATTGATTTAATCTTGGCTTTTATTTTTTTTTTTTTAAAAGAGGCTTTATGTCCTATCGAATGTAGGTAATCTAACAAAGCTAGCAAGTCATGTTCATGTTCCTCTGTATTTGAGGAAGCTATCAAAATAATACCTGACAATGTTGCATTATTAATTTCATACTGCTTAGTATTCAGACAAGGAAAACCCAGTCAGGTTGACATATTCAACCTTTAGTAAGCCACAATCTGCAAGAGATTTGGACCACTTCAGGCATGAAAAATAAAACTAATACCTTGCCCCATGAGCTGATTGATGACACCTAATGCCACCATGACAACACAGGACAACCATAAAACTTGCACAGACCCCAGCGCAGGGCAGAGGTCAGCGCTACTTTGGGCTTCTAACCACAGCTTCAGTTGTATCTGAAACTCAACCCTGAGCTTTCCCAGGAAGTTAGTCCCAGTCGCTATATCAGACTTAATTTAAACATCTTATGTTTATACTTCCACAGGCCTATTTTGCCCTGAGTTTGCCCTCTACTTGTTTGCCAGAATGACAAATTTAGCTTCTCATTTAGGGACCATATTTTATCTGAATGAACAGGCACTTTCTTTTGATAGTATTTGTCCAAAATAGATGAGTCTATATGTTTATATAACTGTTCATCCGCTCTGACAATGAAAACCTTATCAGACCAATCAGGTGCCACCCTACCTCTGTGTGGTAGCCTTCTCTCCTGCCATGGGCTTATGCGAACACTACCGCGGTGTTCCCCTCTGTTCCGTCAACAAGAGGAGGATATCCTACTGGTTTCAGGGTTTGCTTCGAAATGGGCACTCACCTAGAGCATAGAGATGAGATGTCCAATCCGGGTCACGGCACCACTTGATAGAATCCAAACCCTGGAGACTCGATCTGTTGTCTGGACAAGTGAAGTTTATTCATTGTGCGCGCAGGTTCCAGACACCCAGCCAGCCCGTAAGACAATGGACTGTCACAGTTTTATAGCTGGACTGATGCCAAGATTAGACCCAGCTTATACAGGACAAGTAACAGGTGTGACAACAAAAAAAAAAAATCTCAGCAGCATAAAATCCATTCCTTCTACTCTTAAACATGATCTCATTATTACAAAATATACCTGCTGTACAAAAAGGCTGCTCGCAGTGTTCAGCTATATGGTGAAGTTTAGTTCATTTTTATAGTTCACTGTAAGTCGTACTGTGTCCTGGAGCACATTGACAAGTTTGCTCAGTCTTAATAAAGACCTGGTTGCAGTTTGAGCAGGTCGAGAGAAGTTTGGCGGATGTATTTATGGAAAATATTTGGGTGACCATTGACTTCTAGTGTTTGCTAGCAGTGTTACCCTTGTAGCTCGAGTGCTAAAACAAAGAAGCAAAATTTGGATACCATACATGTCTTGGCTGATCAACCACATCTGGGGGAAGTGGGAAAATTGTGTACATTTTTGCTGCACCATTCCTTTTAACATTTGTCTGCAATGAATAAAAAAGACAATTACATCACTAATCACAGTTATTTATATGACAGATACTATTCCAGTTTTTAAACGTTTTCTCAACAGCATAACTTATTCTTTACAATTAAAAAAAAATCATTAGCAAAAAACCCTATTCATTTAAAACTTTAATTAGAGAATGATCTGGCTGAATGATGGTCAATGCAACTTTAAAATCATACAGTAGCAGCGTTTGCAAGGTTGAGCCCACAGGGGCTCAGTAGACTGTTTGTGATGATAGAGGCTGTAAGCTGAGAGTGTGTATCGTGATGTGTGTTCATGTGTGTGTGCATGTGTGATCAGATGACTCTGGCATGTGTATCAGTTTCCCAATGGAAACATTCAGTTTCCTCCACTATCGTTTCTGTCGATTTCGTCCTCTGACCTCTGTGCTATTCCAGCATCTTCAGCCAGACGCCCTGCATCAGCAGAGAGGACGAGGAGGGTAGCGTGAGCGTGCCAGGTGAGGAAGATTACTGCGAGGACTTCCTAGCACAGTTAACCGAGCCAGCGTCACCAAATCATCAGAGAACACCGAACAGGTGAGCGCTGTCAGATTCGTGTGTACACATCAGTCCTATTTGAATTCTGGATACTGTATAGATGTTTTCTAATACATTTAAAGGAAATGTTCACCAAAATGATATTTGCACAATTTTCCCTTTACTCTAAAAGTAGTTGATTGGCCCAGACATGTTTAATAACAGAGTATGCGTCACCCAAAAGGCTTCTATTTTATTAGCCTTGTAGCTCCAGTATAAAACTAAACAAGCAAACTTTGGGCACCAAACATGTCTTGGCCAATCGACTAAGGTGGTATTTCTTTAAATCAGGGCAATAGTTTCTATCCTTTCTTAGCTAAGCTCTGTACATTTTCAGGTGGTTTATTTATGATTATTAAAGAAATGTAGCCATAAAAGAAGTAATCTTGTGTTTCTACTTTAAAAAATTGCTCACTCTCAGGGGTAGAAAAGTACAGAGAGAGACTATATTTAAAGGGCAAGTCCACCATTTTTTTCAAAACTTTTGCATATTTCAATCATTAAGATATAAACTAAGTCATTTGGAGTGTTTTGATGTGAAAAGCTTTGTTCTGCAGAAACTTGCTTAGTCGGATTTGTTTACAGTGGTGGTGATAGGAACCTGATATCTGAAGAGTTTAATGCCTCTAGAATTCCTTCACAGAAAGTTATGGAATTAAATGGTTATGAATGCACTGCCTGATGCCTGAGATGTTGTTGTACCATAGTTTTGAGAATATTATGGTCTAAAATGTATTTTTTTAGTCCATTCATGGCAGAAATGTACATGCAGGGAGTTATAAGGCAATGTAGTGCCCAAAGAAATGTCATCTTTTCAGATTTACTGTTGTACCATTTTCAGCATTACTTATAAAAATTCAGAAAACATGTTCTGATTAGGTTCACTGCTTGTTTTAGACAAAATTATAAAATGGCTATATTTGTGCTGGGTGACATAGTGGCACAGTGGGTAACAGCTGGGTGACCAGGGTCCTTTCTGTGTGAAGTTTGCATGTTATCCCCATGTCTGTGTGGGTTTCCTCCGACAGTCCAAAGACATGCAGTCAGACGATTTAGAGAAAATCTAATAGAGTTGGCAGGTTTCTCTACAGTGAGCACAGAATGACTTTGTTTCCAAAAATGGTGGAATTCCCCAATTACAGTAATCAAGTACAACTAGTTAGGAATTTTCAAACTCCCTGTTTTACCCTAAATACCTCAAACATAGGCAGTTACGAGGGGTGTCTGAAGATGATTATACCCTTATACCTCAGATATACCTTTAGGATTCATTTAAAATAGGTTTACTCCATTAACATTGTTGTGCTGTTCTATATATGAATCACTAAAAATGAAATGTTAGCTAAAATGAACTGTGCCTATGTAGCCATATAAATTCTATATCAAAATAAATGTATTGTCATCTATTATAGTGCCATAATATCACTGCAACCTCTCTTGTCGCCCTCTCATATGTAAGACCTGAAGATATAGGATTTCACACGCAAGACCCTCCAGAACAGCATACCAACAAAGCACAGGTAACACACACTCACACATACATGCATTTATTCTTCTGTGAAAGGATTACAATTGGCGTCATAAAGTGGAAGACCCCTGACTTGAATCCCTTCGAGATACTGTGGCAAGACCTTAAACAGGCAGTTAATGCTTGAAAACCTTCAAATGTAGCCGAATTAAAACAATTCTGAAAAGAAGAGTGGGCCAAAATCCCTGCACAGCGATGTAAAAGACTCATCCCACGTTATCGCAAATGTTTGATTGCAGTTGTTACTGCCAAGGCTGGCACAACTAGTTATTAGGTTTAGGGGGCAATTACTTTTTCACAAGTGTTTTGAATACATCTTTATCTCCAATAAATGGAATGATCATTTAAAAGCTGCGTTTTGTGTTTACTCGTGTTGTCTTTATCTGAAATTTAAATTCGCTGGATGAAACATTTCAATATGACAAATTAGCAAAAACAAAAGAAATCAAGTGGGGGCAAATACTTTTTCACAGCACTGTATCTATATTAAATAGAAACTGTGCGCCAAAATTTGCAGGAAAATACCATATTTAAGTTTGTTCCCTGTAGAGAAAGTGTTCATTTATTTTCACTTAGAAAATCAACAAAAAGTCATTTGGATAGCATTCAAATTTTTGCATATGACTGTAAGTGCTTACTGCCAAGATAAAGTCAAAATCAGTTTTATTGTTATTTCTTCTCATCACAGATGTGTTGAGAGTAGAATGAAATGTATTTCCTACAGTACAAAGTGCAGACAGACAGTAAATACAATAAAATACAGACGAACTATGCAAACACTATAGATCAGAATATAGAAACTATTCTGTACAATATGCATTGTTGTATATAACTATACAACAATACTTTGAGCACTTTGAGGGGTGGGGGAAAATAGACCAGCTATTGGTCCACAGCACCAATAATAGTTGTATGTGTATTTTTATCAGTGTACTGATTATCAATTAGCTTTAGAGGTCACTGTCTCAGATGCGCGAATAGTTTTGCACAGTACTCCATACATTACAGACAAATATTCCACTGTGTTCTACAGAAGATCATAGGCTAATTTTGATTATCAGAGGAAATATTATGCTGGTAGTTGCAGAGATTCGTGAGTCCGGAGACAGACAGCGGTTTCGGCGCCTCTGACCAGAGCCGACCACCTACAGGACTGTCCCACACCCAGTGTAACACTGAGAGGTACGTACACGTGTGCGCTCACACACACAAACACATGCACGCACACACACGAGGCTGTCTCTCTCAGTCACAGTGCCTGCATTGTGTTCTGAGCTTATTCTAGTGAGCTCAGTTATCAGTGTAATTATAGATATTAGGCCAATGACAGGCTGCGTAATAAAAGTCTGAGTACCCTGCAGAAAATATGAAACCATGAAATACGATTTGGTTATTGTTTTCTAATTCTGATTGTATGTCTGATTATAAAAATATGATCAGAAAATGGAACAGAAAGAGCAAAGATTGAAATGGTTTTACTAACTTATAGTTAGTCTTTACTAACTTTGTTATTACAGTGATGTAACTTGGATCTTATGAGCCTTAGTACAAAACATCCCATATTTTGGGTCTCCATATGAAAACCTGCAAAGAAGAAAACGTAACAGTGTCAGTAAACTAATGTCTCACCCAGGTGGGTGCTCTAATGTCAGATAATGGTGGTATAGTATTAAGTTCACTGATACCCGTATAGTACATTTCTAACACTAACATCATTAGTAACAACAGAAATTGATCCAGTTTTGATTTCTTTTCTGTGATGTTCCTCTGGTAATCATATGATTACTCATTACACAATCAGGACATGTATTACTTTATTTGAAAGTTAAACAGCTAAACATTCTCTCATCAAAGGCAGTGATTGAGCAGTGAGAGAGAGTCTGGTTGTGTTCTTTGGTGAGCTGACAGAAGCAGTAAATGTATCATTGTTATTGCATCTTCATTAGACACATAGAAACTAAACTTTCATCCCTCTAATGAGTCCCTCTGAATGAGCTTGGCTCTCACATATGGTGATATCTGTTTTGTTTTATTCGTGTACAGTTTAAGCACAACAACATTTCCACCACTCACAGTCTGAGCACATCACAGTAAGTGCAACAAAATAAAAAGGAATCTGAGCATGACGGAATTGTCGATATTAGTTGTCCAAAGAGCATGGGCAAAACTAAATTTCCTGTATCTCAGCCTTATACAACCATATACCTCGAACACTGCGGAAGAAAACTGTGTAGGGGTAAACTGTACGGGTTGACACTTATGTAGCTGTGTAGTGTAGGTGATGTCAACAACATGTGGACATGTATGGCAAGCAATAAATAGCTAGTTATATTTTGCATAATGCTGCTAAATTCCAGTTCACTGTTTGGACCCAGCCTATTTTTCAAGGAGTTTGGGGTAAGAAAGTTCATGCCAAAGGCTGCACTAAGGGCACTTAGAGAGCTCATAAGCACCACTTTGAATGCCAGAATGAGAAGTGGGACGCCCTATGACCTTGTGGTCCTCACATGTGTGGACAGGGCTAGTGGTTGCGCCAGTCAGGAGCCACCAAAACATATGTTAAAATATAACTGTCAACAGCAGCTGATCGTTAAACAGAAAATGTCTGAATAAAATGTTTTTCTCTCTCAGTTTGTCACCTTCTGATGATGTCGGCAGCATGACAAGTGTGAGCACATCGGATAACGAAGCGTCACACTCTAATCTACACACTGCTGTCTCTGTTGCTACATGGGCTGGATGGGCCCAAATGGGTGACTCGGAGCCGGATCAAGTCTCTAAGAATGTGCAGAACATTCATAGAACAAGAACACAGGAGAACTGCACTACCCAGAATGCACAAGTGGGACTGCACACCATGGCAGAGGCACCATTGTGTGGTAACAGCAAGCTACTGATACTGAGACTGGCACACACGAGCACACATTACACTGTATGCTAATCCTCATATCTCCAAAATGAGAATTTTACAAGAGAAGGAAGAAACATACTGTATTTTAATGTAAGTCACTGGAACCAGAATTTTTTCCAAGTGAATTTGGGTCGTTTCTTTTAGTCCATTCATCATTAAATTTACATACAGTGTAAAGGGTAACAGGTATTTTCAAATTTCAAACTGAAAAATGTCAAAAATGGAGATACAAGGTTTTCTTCCAAAAACAACGATATGCACACACATATAAACTTACTCTTAGAGACTGTAATCTTTCCGTGCTCAGTTTGTTTTAATCATCCTCCAGTCGATCATCAGTGGTCAGTTTCTGATCACAGGACCACTGTTGACTGGATATATTTGAATGCCAACAAACTGCTAACTCAGTACATACTATCTTTCATTTCTTGTTTCTTTTTTTGTTCCACTAGAGGGCGCCACTCTCCATTCTGTCCCTCTGCAAGACCCAAGCCAAGAAGATCAGTTAGCACAGATACAGAATCCTACTGCAGTCGAGATGCCAGCTAGATACAAGCCCTTACACTGCTCCTGTCCCAAGTGAGCGCAGTCTTATTTTGTCTCAGAACATCACTCATCACATCGTCTCAGAGTCTTGACTTTCATAGTTTCGAAAGAACATACATATTTAGGAATCATGACCTTTTCTAAGCATCGTGCCATCAAGAGATCAAAATGAACCGATCAGCTAAGACATACTTAGTGACTAAGATTTGCTTCTTTATTTTTAAACTGGAGCTGAGGCTAAAGTAACTAATAGGTAGTGGAAGCTTACACTGACCTCAGATCCTATTGCATAACTAACAGCAGTATTAGCAGCCTGACTGAAGCCTTTTGTTTGTACTTTTGTCCATTTTTTTATAGACAACAGTGTCGTACATTGTTGGAAACCTCATAAGTGCTTCTATATAAGCAACAACCTGACAAGCTTTGAGGCAAGATGATGATTGATGATGTGATGATTTAGACATGCAGTTTTGCATGATGCTTTTTTGCCAATTAACAATACAAATATAGCTACAAGCTGCAATTTGAAGGATCCAAGCACTTTTTTGTAAGTATGCTCCAAGATTGCAGTCACTGTTATAGCTTCCCCTTTTGTTGTTTGTCCACCACATTTTGCAGGCTGATTCATCAAGACGCAGTAAGCAAGTATTGTAAGTTTGGTTACAGTAGGACAAAGCATAATCATCTTTGTTCTGCTGATGATAGTAATAAATCAAATTAGCAATTTAACAGAACACATGAAAAAGATTAAGTATCGTAGCGCCCGACGCAGGCCAATTCAGTATTAATTTGGCATTACCCCCAGAGTAGAAATAGTAGCATAAATGTCCCAGGTTTTGTCACAGTCAGACATGCGTGCATGAACAAGTTTTAGAAAAGTGAATTTGGACAACCCTGCCCACACAGTTTAACTGATGTGTTGTGGCCATATTTGCATTAGAAAATCAACAATTTTGAAAAATTGTCTACTAATTTATCTAGTTTGCACTGATGGTCAAGACCAGTTTCGAGGTGACGATGACTTGTTTGTAAAATGTGAAACTGACTATATGATGCATTTTATAAAAAGACTTGCATAGTTTGAATACAATTTCAAGTCAACAGGCAAAACACAGTAAACGACATGCTTGTTTATAATTTAAAAAACATAGATAGCACCCTCTTGTGACCAATTGTTGTACAATTTCAGTGCCTAGTAGAGTCCATACTTGGACAAACCTTTCATGTTTTATGATGATTGGCCAAAGCCTGTCAAATGCCTGCTGAAAGCTGATGCCACTGTTATAAATTCTCATAAAACCATGTACAAAGTTTCAGAATGTTCCAAGTTCATTGGACACTTACTGAGAAACAGTAGTTTGTACGTTCTAGTGCTGCCTAGTAAGGTAAGTCCGCCAAATTGATAACATTCTCATAGGGAGTAAACCTTGGTGACAATTCAAGTCATAGTGCTTCTGAGTTTTAGCTGCATATGAGTTTCACCCCTGTTTTGACTGGCATCTGGAAACTATGTAGTGTTGAAATTCCATGTTTGATCATTTTGCTCAGTTTAAGCTAAAGAATCAGTACAAGAAAAAGAATTTCCCCCTTCATGACATACTGTGCAGGAGTTATGGGTCAAACTGCAAAACACTGTGCTGTACTACTCCCTTCAGGCTGATCGGGCTCATCTAACTCCCCTTTGTAGTAGGAGGGAGTACTACCTATTTACGTATTGAAGTTTTGTGCCTGTACGACTTACGGTTTGGTCTGCATATTTCTTTTTACCAAACAGAAAGAAGAAGAAAAATCCTAACAATTGCAATTATTACACTAATTGCAATCAGAATCACAACTTTCAAGCCAAACTAATCGGTGTTAAACTGCTGTGTGTGTTCAGCAGCGAAGCTATTAGTGCACTGCAGTACGAGGTGTCTCGCCTGAAGAGGGCACTGGAGGAGAGTCTGGGTCACTTGCCACATCTGAGCATGCGAATGGAACACCTGAGCAGTATGTATTCACAGGAGAAGAGACCGAGGAGCCGGCCTCGTTCACGACACCAGCACAGACTGTCTTCCAGCAGGTAACAGACAACACATACAAGAACCAGTGGTATCAGTGAACTATAGCAGTGGTTTCCAATCTTGGTACTCTTGCTCTGTATATTTGAGTGTTTTTGCAACTCTAACACACCTGATCCAACCAGCCACCTCATAATCAGCCCCTCCTGAGTGGAGTGGGGGCATAAGATCAGGGGTACTCCAGGGCTACCTTTGGGAACTATGTTTGTAGTCTCAGGCGGGACTCTCAGTGTGGAGTTGCTAAAGTATCTCTGTTATGTAGCAGATGCCTGAACACAGATTTGGACCTTCAGAGGATGGAAGGCTGGAACTCCTCTGATATAGAGCCCAGCAAGATCAAAGGTAACAGTCCACTCCTGCATATATGACTTACTTACAGTACTGTCAGAGTAAGTATGTCAGAGTGTGTTTTTTTTCCCTCAGGAATAGACAGTGGAGAATCAGATCACACTGAAATGCCAGTCTCTTTTAGTCCCACTCACAGAGGCACAGCCACTCACTCCAAAAGTCCCTCCAACAGAAGATTACGTGACATGAAATGTTCTTCCACAGGTGTGGCTCCAGATGATACAGGAAAATGTTTGACCATTTATATTATGCTACCACTAGCTGTGATCAATTACAGTTAGGTTTAGGCTTGTGAGATTGTGTGCCATATTTATATGTTAGCCATAAATATCACTGATTGATAATAGTATTATGGGTGTGGCTGGTAAGTGAGAGCCGCTTTGGTTCTGCCTTTCTGTGGCTCTTTTCTCCAATAATGCATTTCAGCACTGCAGGTTATGAGGTAACACTACACAGAAGTGTTACCTGTTTAAAGAAGAGGAAATAAACACGCTTCAGTTTCTACTCATAAACTTTTAAACCCACTTTATTCTTAGTAGTTTTTGCTGTAGGTTTAATAAATCAAGTGTTAGTTGAAATAATATAAAGGCTAAAGCTTACCATATGAAGCCAGCATATTATAATTGTACCTTTCCTTTACTGTTACTATAGCTTATTATTATTATTATTATTATTATTATTATTAGGTTATTCATAACAATAAAACGTTTTGTCTTTTTAGTTTTATTGATTTTGATGTAAATACAACACCTCATTCATGTTTTGCAAGGGCCTTCTGCTGCTAAATAATGTTCTGAAGCCACACAGCAAACTGAATATGAACATGGACTACACATTAAAAGAAACCCTGCTAAGAGAAAAGATTGTGAGGCAAATATAATTAGTGCATCTTAAAGTTGTGGTTTTCTGACATTTTAATCGTCCAAATTGATTGGCAATCATGATGTTGATGGAATCTATCAGCAATTCACAATACTACTGTCAGTCAGCTCAAGCCTAGTTAGGTTAAAGTAGTTTGGTAGCTTAGGACAATGCAAAGATGACTGAAGCAAGCTAGCTTCAGGGCTCCTGGTTGAACCATGGCTAAGAATCAAGAATATTTATCTCCTACTAAGTTAACTTGGAGTAAACAACATACATTTACAACACTGTTTGGAATCAGTGTGTTCAACAATATTAAAAATCAGTTTACTTTAAGATTAATGTACAAAATTAATTCAGTATGAATTCAGTTGTGTGCAGTGACTTTTCCTTGTGTAAATACTTTTCAAATAACTAGTAAGAAACCAGAAATTTTGGGGGAAAAAACAAAGAAAGAATTTTTTAATTAGAAAAAAGGAATTTTAGATGTGTCCAGAATAATATCAAATATCTTGGTGTGTTGTTTATAAGATTTTCATCTGCACTGTAGAAAACATTATTGCTTTTTTTCTTATAAACCTACAATTTGGAGGTTTTGTTATTACATCAACAATATGTTTAACAATATCAACAATGTTCTCAGTGTGAAAAAACTGTTTAGGGTTTAGAAATCCTTTAAAAACAGAAATGTATGCATTACATTCCTATATCCTGTTTCCACTAACTGCATACATTCCTTTGACAGCCTCACTAGAGAGCCTATCTCAAGATACGTCTCGGTCTAAACCTGGCACAAACCATCGGAGAGCTGGTGTTGGGCCAACCAGTCCTGGTGGCAACATTAGCATTGGGCCAGGCAGTCAAAACAGTGATGCTAACATTGGGTCCCTCAGTGACAACAAAACAGCCAGTGTCAGACCAACCAGTCACAGCAGAACAGCTAGTATTGAGCCAATCATCCATGGCAGCAGAAGCAGTGCTGGTCTTGGAAATAATGGCAGTTTTGGACTAACCAATAACAGAAGCAGAGCCAACACTGGATGTACACCACCAGGTAAGGGCCTAGCTAACTCTCTGAGCCTGTGGTCATTGCCTGATTACCAAATAATGTTCTACTTATTTGCTGATAAACTAAAACTCTAGATGTAGTCCTCTTATGAATGCATAGCATATCTTTGTTTGGTAAAGCCTTGATTATGTACACTGCTCTATAGGAGAGAGTCTCTGTTTGATGGACAGACATGTTCCTCCACCACTTCATCTTCTCCACAAACCTCTGCTTCAGACCAACTATGGATCCTGCAACAGTCTTCCTCCTGGGTATTCAGTCAGTTAATTGATCAATCTATCAATCAATCAGTCCACCCACCGCTTAATACAAAAACAGACTTCCTCTTTGCTTGTGATTGTTTTAGTTTCAAGGTGCAGGATCAGCAGTCAGATCCAGAAACGTCCAGCAGGAGGCGCTCCACCCAGTCAGACACAGCAATGCTGCCCAGTAACGTCTATTTCCAGCGGACCTCACCACTCCCCACCTCGCCATGCAAAACCAGAGGGAGGTCACGGAGACAAAGAGTCAAGGTCAGTTAGGGGCACATAGTCAAACACAATGAGTTTTCTCTGAGATTACCTTTCACACTGATGATTCACCAGTTTTTCCACTTCTCTTACAATGGGTAAGCGTGGGATTTGGTCCAAGAACTGTGTGAAATAGGTGCTGTCCTGCAGTGCTTCAGGGGGTGCCCAAATTTTTATAGTGTAATGTTTGTGGTGGGCCAAGGGCCAAAAATAAACAATGTACAAAAAAAGAAGGTAGGTAGGTTACAAATCTTCTTTGTATATACATTTTAAAATGTACTTCATAACATGTTTTGTTACTAAAATTCTTCAAAATATATAATTTTAAAAGTTAAATAAGAATTTCATTAGTCATACATAGTTTTTTCTCTTGTTAGGTGAAGGGTTGGGAGTAGAGCAACTTTCTCTAACTTTGGCCCACGAAACATGCTGTGGGCAGCACTGTATTAAATGTTGCCTCAGGTTGAGTTTTATTTGCCACTTAATACTAAGAATGCTTGAGTATTGCTGATATGGTGCATCAAGCAATCTATGGATCATAATACAGTCACAATATTGTACAAACATAAATATAAAAACTGCTAACCTTTATAGAATAAATTCAAACATACACATTCATTATGTAGTGAGAACTAGACACAAACACGGTTCTTGTCATTTATTATAGAGATCACTTTATAGGTTTACTATTGGCAACACTTAATTTATGTGAATTATTTCAAGTGTTTGACAAAATGGATGGTAGCATTTTTTGGATGAGGTATTCATTCATTCATTCTTCCTTCTCAAATTAAATTTTATTAATAAGTTGGATTAAACAAGCAGTGTCCAAATACATCTGTATGTTTTCAGAGAAGGTTCACCGAAAGATCAAATTGTCTTCTTACTCAAAAACCTAGTCAATCAACCAAGACTTGTTTGGTGTCCAGAGTTTGCTTTGTTTTTTTTTGCACTGAAGCTACAAGGCTAATGTAACAAATGAGCAACAGAAGTCTGCGTAACTCAAAATCTCTATAATGTTAATCATTTATTTTTCTGATTTCTGATTTAACTGTGGTCAGGAGGAGGCGATAAACCGGACTCTGGATAAAGCCCTGGAGGCGGCTCTTATGATGAAGCAGACCACAGACCGCATGGCTAAAACTTTATCTGCAGACCTGGCTAAGGCCCAGATCTACAGGAAGTTTCAAGGGCTCCATCCTCTCAGTGACATGGAGCAGCCCTGACTGTGACTGACATGGCACACTTTGTTAACAGCTCTTCTGTAAACCTTCAGAAGCTTGTGGATCTTATAAAAAGCTATATAGAAACTCTTTATGGAAACTCTATGGATAATCTATGGATGCTTTATGGTAAATTCATGGAAACTCTGACAACAGAGCAGAAATTGATTGTGGATTAAATTATTTCTAATGATAAAATTACTTTTTCAAGTGTTTTCCTTTTTCTCATAGACCTCACATATACAAATGGAATATATAGGTGTATTGTCAATATATTGGAAATATATCTTAATGTACGTTTAATATAATGCAATTGTATTTGTCCTAAGGCCTGACCCATTAGAATTCCATGCAGAGGACCATTTCTTAGTAAAAGTAAAGCACTAGGGGGCGTAATGGGACCTTTAAGTTGCAGCCAGTGCTACGGTCAGGTACCCCTATAAAGAAAGTCTCATATAACACAGTATTGCGGCAGTAACCAGCTACAATGACAAAAACAGCATGACTTAAGCACTCAAAAGGCTAATATTGCTAAAAACAAATGAAACGCAGCAAAGCCAAGCCACCATTATGCACATGAGATGCTAAATGGTACTCACAGGTTTATTTTCCTTGTTAGCACTGTAGGATTCTTGAGTGAAGTGTTTTAGTTGCAGTTACAACAGTTTAACAGAAGTGTCAGAACATCCCCTCTGGATTAGCCTAACATCCTAGCGTAATCTCAGCCTATGTTTATGATATACTATATGGCCACAGAGTGGAGTGATTAAAGCTGAAAAAGTAGGGCAGATTTTTCAGTGTCATGTTTCTCAAAACCCCCATTTCCTCTCTGTATCTATCACATACACACACGTACGTACCTCTAAGCTTTCTCTGGATCCCTTTGGCCTCCTTTCTGCTCATTTGACACTACAACCTCATCGTACACTGGTGATCGCAGTCACATTGAGAAACTATTAACCCTGTTTGCGTGTACATGTTGTTATTGAGTTTCTACCCCTGGTTTCTTCCCCTGCTCTTTTTGTTGTTCAGTATTGCGTTTCTCTCTAGTTGCCCCTCCGGGGTAGCATCAGGTGTAAAAGCAGTATTCTATGGCCCTGCACATTGTTCTGTGCACTTAGTGATGTGTTCTTAGGAATATTTAAAGGGGAATTCCACTGTTTTTTTGTCTGCATAATTCAGTGGTGGAGATATAAACAGTCGTTTAGAGTGATTTGACGTGAAATGGTACATTGTAGAGAAACTTACTCATTTAGGTTTCCTTATAATCTTACTGACAGGAACTGGGGTGATGTCTAAAACCTAAATATTGATATTGTATTTATAGACATATATAGTTTTTATTTATCCAAAAGGAACTACACAAGTTTTTATATGTGATGTTGACAATGGTGACGTAGTGGTAAGTTTGAAAAAAGAAGTTTTCTGTTGGTACTATTTTGCCTTGCAATGCCCTGCATGTATCTCTCTACCATATTTTTTTAAATAATATTTTAGGCCAAAATCCTATCTTAAAGCTACTGTAAAATGATGTCTCAGCCAATGTACACTATATGTCCAATGTTTGTGGGACACCCCTTCTCATTAGTGAATTGAGCTGCATTAAGGTGCACCCACTGAAGACACAGGAGTGTGAATACACACACAGCTTGTAGAATCTCCATAGAAGAGCACTGACCAATAGAATGGGACACTCTGGAGCAGCCACACAAGGTCACCATGCCCAATGTCAAGCACAGGCTAGAGGGGTATAAAGCTCCCCTGCACTGGAAACTGCATTCTCTGGAGTGATGGAGCTCCATCCAGTAGCTTTGGGATGAGCTGGAGTGACGTTTGTGATCAAGACCTCATCATTCAGCATCAGCACCTGACTGAATTAATACTCTTGTGGCTGAATGCAATCAAATCCTCACAGCAACATTCCAACATCTTGTGTAAAGTCTTCCACGAAGAATAGAGGCTGCACAGAAGCAGAATGCAGCACAGAAGGAAAAAGCAATGTTTTAATTCTCATAATTTTGGAAGAAATATTGGATGAGCAGATGTCCACAAACATTTGGCCAAATAGTGTATCTGTAACCATTTTGTGTACTAACTTTCCATAGTGTAGCTTTTAGAGATGTCTGGTTCTGGTCTGAATGACTTTGTTTACATCTTACCCATTTGATTGTCCAGACATTTTGCAAAATCTATAGAATTTCCTTTCACGAACAAATACACACAGACATATAGTATGCAAACCTGTACTGACAGTTACACCAACATATACCTCGACATGTGATCTTAGGAATACACACACAAATACGCAGTGCACTCTCACTGACACTCTTACGCACGCACAGCCAACTTTTCTGCAGGCTACACTCACGCAAACAGTCTCACATCTCTAAAGATATGATCTTTGTTTGAAACGTACACACACCTCCAGGGTCAAATACACATGGACACAAACAGGTCCCTGTGCCATGTATAAAATTCACAATTTAACATATGATTCCATCTGACAGGCTGCTTTTTGTGACATGCAAACGTTTTGTTGGTCCCCTGTGTGTGCTTGACGTTCACTCAAAACAGAAACCTTCCTCTGGGAGACATAAAGCTATTCTCACATGAACATGTGAACTGTATATACTGTTTGTTATAGATATGCTCTGGTTTTACAGTGACATAGGTAGCGCTTACTTTATATTACTTTGTATAGTGTTAACCTACACAACCTAACCTCTACACAAAAGATGGTTCAAGGATTCTTTAGTAAGTGGTTCTTCACATTGATTGACGTGTGTTGTATATGGTTCTGCGCAGAACCTATTTAAAAATGGTTTTATATAGCACCAAAAAGGATTCTTCTATTGCCACGATGTCAAGCTTGTAACAATATAAAACCCAGTTTCAAGAAGGTTCTATATAGAACCATATATAACACATTCTCCATCAATGTGAAGAACCATTTCACCATGCGAAGAACCATATAAGTATAAAATGGTTCTCTATAATACTCATGGTTCTAAATAAACCATTCTCTTTACTAAAGACCCATTTTTTTTAAAGTGTATTAGAAATTTGTCAACACCATAATTTTGTCCCAAACACTTAATTTCACTGAAATCTCCCAGATATTGTAGTCTGTGAAAAAATGTTCTGAGATTAGGACCATCTAGGACCAAGCAGGCAGAAAGTGTCTACACCAGATGGGAATTTCTTCACATTAAACTTATGTTTGGAAGAGATTGCTGCTTGTATTGGTCTACTCGGCCAGATATGCCCAGCTAGTGTGCAGAGAGCGATTTATATCTGCTCTGTTATGCATAGCTGTTGTGTTTGCTGGGCCAGATTAGGTTGGTCGGTCATATATGTTTTAAATGTATTTCCTCAGTAGTAGGCCCTTAGTGGCTCCACGCGGCTCTGGTTGAACCAGCGCATCCAGTTTATAAGAAAGATAGTTCCGGTTGAGGGCCTGGCAACTTATGTTTTTAACTATACTGTAAAACCTGATAAGTTAAGTCAACTCAAATGATTTGTGGAGACTGATTACTTCAAATATTTTAAGTTCAACAACTCATTTACGCTTTAGTAAACTGGGTAAATTGTATGAAGTCCATTTGTTTTGTTGATATTAAAGTGATCAAGTATTTGTGACTAATGTTTAAGGTGTAAAAATTCAATATAATTAAGTAACTGTAAATCAAATTCACCATTACACTATCATTTTGACAAATTCATAGTATATTATACTACAGAGATATGATCATACACATTTGTAACTGTATCTTGTCCACCATAATGTCACTCCAGGCCACCACACCAAATACAGTTCAGCCTAGTGTACAGATGTAGGGACTCTGACATCTAGTTACAACAGAACCACATTTAGCAGATAAGAACTTAGTAATTCAGCTCTTTCAACACTGAATTTTGCTCAGTACTGATTGGCATAAATCACAATGGTTTATAAAGCTAGTCAACACAAGGGAAGGTAGGCTGGGGAGAATGACAACACACAGACGGTGAAGACACGCCCAATATGAGTTTTACTCAAGAAGGTTGCATTGACCAAACATTTATCAAGTAAAGCTGAGAAGTTTAAACTAAAGTGCACTAAGTTTATTTAACTCAAGTATCCCGTTTGATGGGAACTTTGAGTCTGAAATCGTCAAAATAAAGTTATGAAAAAAACATGAAAGTCCAAATCATTTAAATGTAAACTTTTATACAGTCTATCATATCAAGCTCCACTAATTTTTCAACAGTCTTTAAAAACAACCCATTATAATTCTTTACCAAACAACAAACAGACCTGGTTATCCAGAAGAAGAGAATGGATGTTATGATGGCATTATGTTGATTTTATAATTAAATGCATTCTTTTTAAAAACAAACAAACAAAAAAAAAACATTATTGGCCTGTTTGTATTTGCATGAAAAGTCAAGTTAAATAAAAATAGTGAATACATGACAGTGAATATGTATATAATAAATTTAAATAAACTTAACTTGACTCAAAATCATCGCATTTTGATTTTATTTACATTTTGCACAGCATCCCAGCTTTTTTGGAAATGGGGTTGTACATATAACATTACTGTAAACACTTTACCAAACAAAATGTAAACAAATCAAACAAGTAATTTGATGAAATTATAGAGAAATCTGGGAAATAGGAGCCATTTTGTTACCCCTAAACGCTACTTCACATGAAGTTACTACATGAAATGGTTGCTAATACTCTGTCTAAGCCATTGTCTTATGATAATTCTAAGATAAGGTTCTGGCCTAAAACATTTCTAGCAGAGGGGTTCATGCAGGGTGGTCAAAGAAAATACATTTTTTTATAATAATAATTTTTAATTTTGTTGTTATCATGTCATTTTTCATGAACATTAGATGTGAGATATCACGTGTATGTTAACTGATCAGTTTAAATAGCAAATGAAATGGCTATATTTGTGTTGTAGACGCTGTGGCCCCTGGCTCCTGTCACCACCATTATAAAATAGTAGTGGGTAAGTTTCTCTACAGTTTCCGGGAATCTGTGGAATTTCCCTTTAATCTTTTTAGAAAAAGAACTTAGATCCCATGTTAATGGGGGA